ATCAGGGCACTCTATATGCCTGGTGGGTGGGATGATGCAACAGAGTGAAACAAGAGTATGTCACATTCATTGTCCAGTGGAATGGGGAGATCATTTGAAAGACAACGGTAGAACCCGCCCCACAACCGAGAGCCGTCAATGGAGCGTGGCCAGACTAAATAATACATGTATTTAGTCTGGCTTGCCAGGCTAGTATTTAATAGCATCTTCTAGAGACCTACGATCCCCCAAGGCACTTTGCAACACGTCAGTCATTCACTCATTTGCACACAGGTGGTGATGAGCTATGATTCTTGGTGACCAGTCTGAAACTCAAAAATCCGATTTTTCGTAGTCATGAATCTGTCTTTGAAAGTAGTAATAAAAATCTAAATTCCCCCGCTCAGTGAACTCAGCATTGCTCCAAAATGACACAAATGAATAAAAAATGCTAATAGTAAAATATTTCATAGTATTTTTGTTTGTTTTGACATTAAGTGCTTTTACGTCCAACTCTAGTGTGTAAAACTGTGAAACGCAGAGTATCTTGAGGAAAAGGCATAATGAATGAGAGAAATTGTAACGCGAGTTCCTTTCTCTATTTGCGACGAGCAGAAATGTCATTCAGGACTGTGCTTGTAATAAAGGCCTTATTCATGGCAGGATCATTAAAATAATGTCCTCGTTTGTGACTAAAGAATGGTCGGATGTGTTGGAAAATAAAAGAGGGACATTTCCTGTTTGAGCATTCAGCTTAGCTCATTAAAAACCTGAAAACTGCAGATTTTCTTTCTCTTTATTACTGTTATTGATAATAAAACCACACAGATTACAACTTCTGCTTCAACATCATCGTAACTGGAGAGAACATGGAAATTTGGCTGCATTTTAAGTTTTAAATCTTGTTTTCTCATGTGCTTTAATCTTAGTTTTTCTTACATATTAAGATAAAATTAGATAGTTACGCTTAAATAAAAAGAGATTGCCTGTGGGTGGGTTGTGGGGACCTTCAGTCCCAAACCCCAGATGCACAAAGTAGGTCAAAGACTCAACTAGGCAGTGTCTCAATTGTTTTGTATCTTCACGCCGGGATAAGTTTACTGGGCCCTGGCCTCACGGTTCCTACTCTGATGACTTTGGCTCCATAGAACATCTCACAAGGCCACACGACTACAAAAGTCTCTACACTCCAAACTGGTCCACTGCTGCACCTTTAAAGCTCACAGAGTGGGAAAGATGAAAGGAAACATCAAACATGTAGAAGTGTTTACGGTAAAATCCTGAACGTAAACCTGTTCGGGGTGAAGGAGCGGTTAAAGTGTTAAAACCGCGATCCCCACACATGCACGCAAACAACCAGAGTTACGAGGTCCTCTCATCGTCTGCGCTCATTTCCTGGTATCCTTGACAACGACATATACACAGCTGCATCAAAACCCTCTTCCCCAATGGCTCACACACACACACACACACACACACACACACACACACACACACACACACACACACACTGCATTTAGAGAAAGACTTGCAGCTGCAGAACAGGAGGAGAGTGTGGAAGCAGGACAGACGCTAAAAATACAAAAGTATAAAGTGAAAAATGTGAAGCACGTCCAAACAGCTCAAGGCAAAATATCAAAGGAGAGAAAGAAAGATGGATTTTTAATGTTTGCACGTATTATTTTAAGCTTTAAATAATACAAAAAAAAAAAAAAACCACATGATGCACATCAGTCCAGTATTATGAGTCCATATCCTGTAAGTAACCGGCCAGAAAGGGACTGACTGCAGATAAAATCAGATCAAACTCACATCTGGGCCTGGTTCTCCGGGCTCTCCGTCATCTCCTTTTGGTCCGGGGGTTCCCTTGCCACCCTGAGGGTCACACAGTCAAAGTTCAAAGGTCAAACATCCCTAGAGAAGTGGCACATTTTTAAATCTGAGTTTAAAATAAACTAAAGGTCTGACTGTTACAATAAAAACTACATTTCAAAGAGAACCCACCGGCTCTCCAGGATCTCCGCGGGTCCCGGGATAGCCCTAAAAAACACAGCAAGGTTCAGCGAATAATTATCTATATCACTTTATATCAACTAATTAGTCTCGACATTTACCTGGAAGCCATGACAGCCTATTGATCCAACTCCTTGTGCTCCATCATCTCCCTGAGATTAAAAAAGATCCTCGTGTCACGAGTCACAAGTAAAGGCGCTCATCTGTCTCCCCCCTCCTCCCTGCTGCCATCACTCACCCTCTCCCCCATCGGGCCTCGGTCTCCTGGAGCTCCTTTGATTCCTCTTGGCCCTTTAGGCCCCTGGGTGATAAAGAGACAGATTAGAAACAAACGAAATCTAACACGCTGAAAACATTTAAGAGAACACGCATGTGTGAGACCCAGACACGATGACGTCTAACAGCTGAAATATTTTTGACAATTCTTGATGAAAGCCATCCTCACCAGGATGAACCAAACAACTCAAGACACCTTGTAATATTCAAGCCTAGAAATAAAATCACAATAAAATAATAAAATAATGATGACAAAATTGATTGTTTTCAACATAAAAACTGTAAATCCAACCTAACTGGTTACTTGTAAACTTTAGAGTTTAGAATTCCTAGAGTTTTGCTTCCAGGGCTCTGATTGGTCAATCCTGTCTTGAACCACAGTAAACTCCACCATTACTTTAAAATACATTTTCTTTTAATAGCTGCATTTTATTTATTTGTCTTTTTGATCGTCTTTTAAATTTCAATCCTGTTTTAGGGAAATAGAAGTAAAAAAATCTTATTTCTCTACTTTTCCTTTTTTGCTGCAACTGAGTCATAATGTCCTTTAAAGGCGTGGAGCACTCAATGCATTTGCAGCAGTCTCTAGTAGGAATGCATGCTGTGTAAGTCGTACTCGGGGGAACAAAAACACCGGTGCACCATTTCCAGGAACTAGAAACGAGCAACATCAAAGCTAAGCTTCAGGCAGGTTTTGGAGTCATACCCCTACTGCACACTGGAAGCATCTGCGGCGCGGAACGGCAGCGGAATGTCACCACTTCAAATAGAATTCAGTATAGTCTATAGACGTGTCCCAGAAGGAACCCAAAGATAGCACTGGGTTCTATTTTATCCGCGAGCCACTTCCAGGATGCGTCAATTTTTGCAGTTAACATAGGGCTAGACAGGAAATCACAAATAGTTTCAGTGTAAAATCCCCGGTAACTTTCAAAATAACAGTACTGCAGAGATGCAATTTCATATATATGAAGCTTATGTGTGATCCCGCTAGGGATGGGTACCGAATTCGGTACTTTTTAAGGTACCGACCGAATTCCATAGTACCGACCGAGCACCGATTCACATCGTTTCAAACGGTGCCTTGTTTCGGTACCCGTCCTTCATAACGAGAACTTGCCAAGACAGCTGCGCATGCACAAGAGTGTTATATCGTCGGTCGCTGCGAGCGAGTTGTAAACAGAGCAGCATGGTAGAAAGAACACATGCTAAAGCTTGGGTGCACTTCACTAAATGTGATGGGTAACTGGGTGATGATGAAACCAGCGACAACGATCTAAGTGAGACATCCTCATCTTAATCTGCTCCAGTAGGTAAATAAAATGTTTAAGATAACGTGAGCTTGATATGTTAGCTTCCGTTTTACTAATGGTGCGTTCGCTTTCTCCTCGGAACTCCGAATTTCCGACTAGAACATGAACGCGCTCTAAAGTTTGGCTTCACTTTACTAAATGTGATGGGTGATTGGGTGAAGATGAAACCAGCGACAACGATCTAAGTGTGAGGCATCATCGTTTTAATCTGCTCCAGCAGTTAAATAAACTGTTAAAGATAACGTTAGCTTGATATGTTAGCTTCCATTGCCACCGTTGTTATCAGCTAATGGTGCGTTCGCTTTCTCCTCGGAAATTCTAACTTCCCAGTAGGAAAAATCAATTGAAAAAAGACAGTAAAAGGAATGAAGATACACAGTAAATTTAGTTCACAGTAAAGATGTTTGCTTCAGTTTAATTATCAGCTTATAAAACTACAAGGACAATGTTAAAATACAAACAGTTGTATGTTATTTATCGTGATATTTATCAAATATTGTTATATATTGAGAAAAATATATATTTAATTATAAAAGAGAATTAAAATAATCAACACTCAAAAGTATCGAAAATTGGTACCATTAAGTACCGGTATCGATTCGTAGGTACCGGGAATTAGTACCGGATCGATTCAAATGTCAAAGGTACCCATCCCTAGATCCAGCTACTTATTTACTCCCTTCATCGTTCCAGAAGTTCAGCGGTGTGTGTTTCATGGCTTTAATCCTAGCGGTTGAGAAGAACAACATCACATCTGACATCAAACTGCGATGTCAGATATGATTTCCTCCTTTTTGGTTTAATGGCGGATTGCATAAACAAATTGTGACCTTTGAAGTCTCGAAGGTTTTGTGATCTTGCTAATCGAGCGAGGAGCACAGCAAAGAAGCCGCTTCGCTGCTGAGACACTCCCGGTGTGCACTGGAGTGCTGATATTGTCGCGAGTAAACCGTTCCGCAGCTGTTTTGCACCGCTGATGCTTCCAGTGTGCAGCCGCAGTTATTCCCCGATAATTCAACATCTCGCCCTGGATTGGATATCACCTATGCGACACCAGTGTTACCACTGACTTACAACGTTGATGTTTTATCTCCACAAATAGCACAAGCTTGGAGGAGTTCTGCTGCATGGTGGAGTTGCTAATGCTAAAGGTTAGCTTCTACTAGTGTAGGAGCCAAGAGCTGTGTTTGTGTACATGATGTTTAATATCCTGTTTTCAGTCCAGTTTGCATCATTTCCAGTAAGACTCACATTTATCTGAATGTTTATCGGGAAGTCAAGAGCAGCAGACGGTTCCTGTCTTGTTGCATGGGTTGCTGGGAAAGGCTCGCCAAACTGTTTCCAATTCATCTGTATGTGAGACCCATTTCCTAAGCTATGCAGGAGTGACATCAGTAAAAAGTACAACTGGGGTCGCATTTTCGGTGTAAGCAGGCTTTTCTGAGATGCAGCCGGAGGCCCTGTGCGTTCTGGCTGAACGCTGTCCCAAGTTACTGGTGATGTATTGCTGAATTGCACAAATAAAAAGCCCCACGCTGTAAGGACAAAGTTGTCTCATTCTCTTGTGTTTTGATAAGGAAAAGAACCACACTAGCTGAGACGTTCTCTGCTGTTTCCTGGACGCTAAACCAACAGCAGCCTTCCTCATCCCGGGTTAAGTTGGGTGAGTTCATGAACGTTAAGTAACAGTGAGACGTAGATCTATCGGGCTTTTCTAATCCCAGAGATTCACCGTCTATTTTCTAACAGAAGCTAATGCAGAAGACGGGTGTAGGAGACTATTTTCATGTTCAGCCCGCATGAAATACTCAGAGTGACTGATTATAATCAGAAACAATCATTAAAAATGCTTTTCAGTGTTCCACACCTTTAAAGAAAAGAGTCAACATCAACCAAACACATCAGTTAACGGGTCTCTTGCACAATGAGGCAGACAGTGTAGGGATTCCTGGGATTTCTGAGAGAATTTAAACTAATAGGTAACTCTAGATTTGTGTTTCTGGACTCACCTCTGGTCCTTGTTGACCTTCATCTCCTCTGTAGCCTGGGGGGCCGGGCTTTCCTTGTTCACCCTGTAAATTACAGTTAATATTTAGTTAGAACAAATAAAAACAGCAAACTATTTCAACAATAAGCCTTTAAACCGCAAAGGTGAAACTGAGAGGCCATTAGCACCTTTTTCTTAAATCAGTCAGACATTTTTGCACAATATTCACTAATGTCTTTGTACCAGGAGCAGAGAAGGCGGTTCAGCTCGTCATAAATTCCATGTTTTAGCTCTCTTCTCGTTTTTTTTTTTTCACTGACGAGAAAAGGAGGCATGGCCAAAAGCACAAAAGAACCATTGAAGGGTTCTGGCACGGCGGAGGCTACCTCAGCTAACGCCAGTAACATATTATTGTTATTATTATTATTTCTCTGCCTGGTGCCTCATTAGGAAAGCCATACTGAGGCTTTGGCTGGAGCAGGTGGAGAGAAGAACTGAGTCAGAGGGGAAAGAGTGAGCGTTTTCTGTGGAGGGGTAAACGTTGAGAATGAAAAATGGGAGACTGAGTGGGCAGCGCTCTGGGGCAGCTGCCAGATTGGCCTCTGTGTGAAAGTAGATGCTCACATGTACACAATCACTAGGAAACTCCCATTAGCAAGTGGAAAAATCAGAGAACAACTAAGAGGAGTGAAAGAAAGAAGCATGGAGTAGCTCCTGTTGGAGTTGGACTCACAGGTTCCCCGTTGTCTCCGGCTGAACCCTCTCTCCCCTGCTCTCCACGTGATCCTGGTTCCCCCTGGTAAAAACAGAGAACACAGAAGTGACCGAAAGTAACCAAACAAGATGATTTCAAGATTTAAACGTATTTAAAAATAAACAGGAGCACACAGAAGGATCTATAAACAGTCTGAGTGTCACTGTCAAGCTGCTTTTCCTGGAAATTTCTTAGGAAGACTAGCTGGAATCAGGATCACTCAGGAGGAAGGATGAGTCTACTTTTCATCACTCTTCGTCCTACTTATCATCACTTACCGGGTCTCCTCTTGGACCTCTGTTTCCGCGGGAACCCTGCTCCCCTTTCTCACCGATTGGTCCCTGCAGAGGACGTTAGCACATAATTTGGCAGCTCCATCACAAAAACACGCCGAATAAAGTCAACATGAACGATACTAACTCTCTCTCCGGGACCCCCATCTGCTCCAGCTGGTCCCTGAAACACACACACACACACACACACACACACACACGGTTTCACATGGATGTTATAAGATACATGGGCTTGATTTTTGTGGTGTTGTCAGGAAGTGATGTCACGTACATCATCACCGCGCTCTCCTTTGTCTCCGTCAGGTCCTCGAGGGCCCGGTTCACCCTGTCATAACAGAAACTGTTCATAACTTCTCCTGCTCTGTTTCATGTTATCGTCTGGCATCTTACCGCAGGGCCCAGAGGGCCGTAGTTTCCGGGACGTCCGGGTTCGCCGTTCCTCCCAGGATCTCCCTGGAAGAAGAACATGGACATTTAAAAGAAATCCCCACCTGTAGATGTGTTTAGGTCTTTATTTCTCACCTTTTCTCCTTTCTTTCCATAAGAACCAGGGTCTCCCTTTGGACCAGGCTCTCCCCGCAGGCCCTGTACACCCGCAGCACAGAGACAGTTTCAGTGTACCATGATCATAAGCAGCCCAAGGCAGAAGCAAAACAAAAACTCTGCACTTGTATGCTCATATAAGCTCATGCATGAGTTGGTTTACAGAGGGGCTATACGGCATCATTTAAACAGTCTGACAGTAGAGAATGTAAACACAGTTGTGATGAAAGAGCTGAGGGCCTCCCATCTCATGGGACATGGAAGCTGGGTGTGATGCTGGATGGGGACGGCTGATGGCTAATCCATGAACAGAGGCGCCGGAGTCTCAGGAGGACAGGGAAGCACAGACAATGGGTCCAAGAAACTCCAAAAACAGCAACGTGTCCTAACCATCGACATTAATATAACAGCTCCTAACAGCTGCGTGTTAGCAGTGTCGTTAGCATCGAGAGGTTAGCGAGCACTAGAGATGCCATTTTCTGATACCGTTCTTGTTGGATTTTGTGAATTTGACGTTAAACTTGTAACTTGTAAAAAAATAATCAGGTAGGCATGGAGCTAATGTTCCATAAGTTTGACGGTAAAAAAAAAAAACCAGCTGGTGAAAACAAAAGTCATTTTAGCTCATTAAGGTAGCAAAAGGGTAGAAATCTGTGGACGCACTAATTTATAAAGGTGATTTGTCTGATTTCTGTTAAAACAGCTGCCTTTACACAAGAGCTAAGCCCACTTGTGTTATTAGTGGCATTCCCATGCAGTAACTCCATGACAAACTACAGACAAACTATATATATTTTTTAGTTAATTTAAATATAAACATGAACACAAATAGGATCCGCGTGTGGCCCTGGAGCCACAGACTGACCCATCCTACAGACACATAAACATGTGGTACCTTTGAGTTATAGATTCTCATGAATGATTAACTTTAAACCACAAAATCAAACTGATTTTAATACGTTTATAACCACAACTGTAGAATTCACCCTCACTGAAAGAGTCCGGAGAATCCTCTCATCTGGTAGTGCAGATGAATAAAGACCAGGTTCACTTGTTTTTTCATTCGCAGTGGTCTCTTGTATTAATGAATGCCTTGTGGGTCGTTCTATGTGGGGGAAAAAAAGCTCTGGCGCTCCTGTTTCAGGAACTGAAAGTGAGCCACAGCTGAGGTGAGAAGACAGCAGGAGTCTTATTTCCTGATGTTTGGACATCTCGCCTCTGATTGGCTATCAGTAACTCGACTCTACCACAGACTCCATTTGCTCCGCAACATTGATGTCTTGTCTCCACAAATAACACAAGCCTGGAAGAGTTTGACCAAGTGGTGGAGTTGCTAATGCTAGCGGTTAGCGTCAACTAGCCGAGACGTTCTCTGCTCTCTCCTGGATGCTAAAACAACAGCCTTCTCCGTCGCGAGCCAAGATGGGCGAGTCCATGAATGTTAGTTCTCAGTGTGACGTAGACGTAGCTTTTCTAATCCGAGCATTTCCTCTCAGCGGCTACTGCAGGAAATAAGGGTAGAAGACTATTTATACATTTAGCCTGAATGTTAAACTCCGAGTGACTGATTGTATTTCAAAAATAACAAGTAAAACACAGTTTCACAGTGAACTTGGTCTTTAAGGAAAACCTGAATCTGGTGAGTGTGAATGTGGGAGGAGCTCAGGTCAGAGTCGTAACAGTGGGACTAAACTCACTTCAGATCCAGGAGAACCTTTGCAGCCTGGAAGTCCAGGGAAACCAGATTCACCCTGAAGATAAAAACAACAGAAACATGCGCTGAAATTATTTTATTGGAAAAGCAGACCAACTACCTGAGCTGCATGGTCTACGCCGCTCTCACCTTACGTCCGTCTATTCCATCCATCCCCCGCTGACCTTTGTCGCCCTGAGAACCAGGAAAAGATGGAAGAAACGTAAATGAGAGCGAAAACAAGATTCAAAAGTGAAGATCATCAGATTCAAGGAAAGCTCACCTTAAAGCCTTTGTGTCCTCTTTCCCCCTGTAATCAAAACACTCGCCATGAACTTCACACACCTGAACAAAGTCAGTAAACTAAAAAAAGAATACAAATGTTTTAATGTCTGACGTTACCTTTTCTCCTCTGGGACCACGGTCTCCCTAAAAGGAAAAGGACACACTTTACTTTCCCACCATAACATGAAGCGGGGTGGATCTGGTGCAAACTCAAATCAAAAAAGTCAATCAGCATTTTTCCTGCAGGGTGTTTTTTTCTGAGTGACTGTTTAACACCTTTGGTCTTAAGCTAACTCTACCTTCATCCCACTGTAACCAACTGGACCAGGATCACCAACGCTGCCCTGTAACAACAACACGTTAGTCCGCTCCATTCTGTTGAGGACGATCTTTTAATTGAAGACAAAGACAGACTGAAACCTACCATGGGACCAACATCTCCTTTCTCTCCTGGCATCCCCGGTCGACCCGTTTCTCCCTAAAGATGGAGACCAAACTACAATAAACTCACAGAGTTTCAGATCAGGGTTTTATTCTTTCATTTTCCTGATGGATGCCTCACCGTGGCTCCCGCGTCTCCATTTGGTCCTTTTGGCCCTCCGGGAGCCTGCAGCCCAACAACAAGGCGATGAGGTGATTCATCAGAAAACAAACACTAAGATTTTTTTAAAAGGACAAATACTTACACTGCAGTCGAAGGAGCAGCACTGGGAAAAGAAAAGTCTCAATTTAGAGCAAAAACAAAACTGGAAAATGCGTTTGAAACTGCAAAATAACTTTGATGTGACAGGAAATAGAGAGGAACCCAAAGCAGAGATAATGTTAATGAGCTCCTTGGGTTGTTAGCTCAGCTTCTTGCGTATTTCCTTAGCTACCCTTTTGTTATTTCCTGAAATCTGAGAATTTGGCAGACTTTGGACCTCCAAGGACCAAAAACCAAAAACAGACCCTTCTTACATGCTAATTACAAACACTTTAATCAGGCTCAGAGCACTGAAGACTCGACCTCAATCGCCACATCATCACGGATGTGTCCTGTGGATAAATCTGGTTTTATACAGATTACAGGAAGTTGGTAAGGCAACAAAACATGCTGAAACATCAAAATCCCCCAACAGATGTTTGACTGAATGATTAAACACGCCGCTTAAACGGAGGGTGAGAAAATCTAAAGACATACCACATCCTTTGTCTCATTTGTCTGCGGAGAAAAAAAAGAAAAGAAAGGAAAGTTAATTTTGAATCTTTATGTTGTACATGTGAAGGGAAGAGAGAATACACACAATAATGTCGATGATGGTTTGGATGGTTTTGGTCTTGGTGGATCTGGACTCATCAGCAGCAGTGAAGTTCTGTCTGTATAGCTGGTCTGTGGCGATCAGCGACAGCCTGGTGTCCTGGTGGAATGAAAAACACAATTATTTACACTTTTATACCTGAAATGTTAACTTTTTTATGCAGTTCCACTCAGTTCTTACTGACACTGACTTCCGGTTCTCAGCATCAGATTCGTACGGATATTTCTGTTTTACTTTGAACTCATTGACCTCCCTAACATTTGGTTTACGTCTACTGAGCGTCTTGCACAAATCTAGTCTCATCCTTTAGGTACGTCACTAAAGGACAAACACTAAGATTTAGGAGGACAGTTCGCTATGTCAGCAGATAAACTGAATAGTTTTGTTCAGTGGATGTTTACGAGTATAAAAGGTGGCTGCAAACTGTATCTCCTTTAAGGCCTCAGCAGCAGATGATGATAAAATCCATCACTTATTATTTATGTACTCTTTATCCTGCAGGCTGGGACAGAACGTGTGTCTCTGATAAACCTAAAGGCCCGATCCAAGCTTCCTGTTGGGAAGGATTCTTTTCTTGTGTTTATGGAAAGCACTTTTACAGGTATTCTGTATAAATTTGACTCGGGTAAGAACATTCTCTTCTCAAACACTCTAAACAAAAAATGTGGACATTTATGAGTTTTTACATTCTGGAATAAATGAAGGTTTCATGAAATGAAAGGCTTTCCGAGGATTCCCTCACAGAAACACATTGAACCTATTTTGAAATTGCAATATTTCTTTTATCTGAACGAAACACGATCATGAAGCTCTTTGTAACAAATCACTCTAAAGTAAATATCAATAGATTTCTACTGCTGACAGGTTCAGAATGAGCTGTCACTTTGGCCACACCCACCCAACCTTTTAACATTCTGCTTAAGGTCTACTTTAAAGTGACAATGTGTAGTTTTTACCATTAATCTCTGGAAATATCCATTGAAATGTTGTTGTAAATGAATTAAAAAAGATACCTAGTTGTTGAAAAATAAAAAGAAAAAGTTGATCCAACTTAAAAAAATTGCTTCAATTGGTAACAAGCAATTTAATTAAGTTTATCCAACTTAAATTATTAGTACAATTTTAATAATTTAGGTTGGATAAACTTAATTAAATGGCTTGTTACCAATTGAAGCAATTCATATAGGTAGATTAAACTATTCTCTTTTTTCAGTGTAGAAGTTTCATAACAAAACCATAAAAATCGAGTCTAAAATACCAAAGGAGCAGGTCTAAGGCTTGGTTTATGCTTGACGCATTCACTTTCCGCTTGGTGATGCGGCTCGCGGATGGAACGTGCTTCACAACTTGCAGCGTTTATGGTTCGTGCGGCTCGTCTCTGCGGTGAGCCAATATTCTCCCAAACTGTAGGGGGCAGCATGGAGCTCTACGGCATGCATCCAACACTACACCATAGTAGAAGTAAAAATTACTGTTGTTTACAACATGGCATTCCAGCATTTTTTATCAGCGTCCTCGTCTTTTCCGACAGTGCGAGCTATTTCTCTCCAAGAATTATTAACAACATGTTGATCACGGTGATCTCTGAGAGCTGAATCATACAAATGTCTGTATTTATGAACCTCTGCCATACTAGTTCCTGCCAGTCCGCCATGTTTTTCTGCGTCCGACCGTCCGCGTGGTTAGAAAATTTCCTAGGTGCGCGGTGCAGAAAGTTTGGGCCATGCGGAGGCGCGGTGGAGGGGCGTGGTTGTTAAAATGACGCAACTTTTCCGCGCGGAGCCGTGCGAACCTCGCGGACGCGTCAAGCATAAACCAAGCTTAAGTCTCTGGGTGATGCCATATTGGATGCCATGTTTCCTTCTACGGAAGCCCGTGAGGATAGAATTAATTTACTGATTTGTAACAATGGTTACAAAACTTTCAGCATTAATAAACCTTGTTGTTTTACACATTTACCTCTTCACTCATTGCAAGTGATGAAAGGGAATCTGATGTTCTTGTTATTTTGCTGGAGGTTGTTCTCCCAGGGCTTTTTGACCCTAATGGCCATCCGTTGGTAAGGTCTTACTTGAACACAAAAATAATGCTAGCTTACAATCATTTAGGTATCTACTGCCCCCTATCGCCGGGGAAAATACACACTGTCACTTTAAGGCCTTCAGGCTCCATTTAAGGACCCGTTCTAAGAGTGGTGGCTGACATCAGCCCTGTGCTCTTTTTCTGAAATAGTTTTCTGTTTTTTTATTCATGTATTTATTTTATTGAATATTTTTTTCATCATTATACCTAAATATTGTTTTTCCTCAGAAGAAAGAATGACACAATGAATAGATTTAAAGTGTTTTGTGGACATTTTGTTACATATTGGGGTTTTCACATGCATTAGGAGCTCTAAGCATTGCCACCCTGCCCAGATCTTCTAGATCTAGATTTTCTAGATCCGCCCCTGCTGTAAATGAATGATTATGGATAAATTCTGACTCTGACTTATGCTGCATGTATTTATGCATGCATCTTTTACCTCCTGATCAGGTGAGATGGCTACGGCAAAAACTTTGACCCCATGTTGTCTGGCTTCATTTGCAGCTTCCTGCACACCTCCACATGGCTCCTTGTACCCAGTGATGGGATGTCCATCAGTCACTACCACAATGTACTTGTTCTCATTGTAGTGGGAGCCCCTGCATGCAAAAACACAGAAAATCCACTTAGAGATGACCGTTGTGTCTTTAACAGCATGCATGTAGTGTTTTATTACCCAACAAGCAGCTCTGCCAGGCCCCTCTTGATGGCACAGTCGGTGTAAGTTCCCTTGCCGATGTATGTGATGCCATCAATGGCCGCTTTCAGGGCATCACGCTGGAATGACATTGCACTCAGCTCCTGCACAAGGATGACTTCGTCACTGTAGTGAAGTGCTCCTGAGTTCCATGTCAAGACCCGGTCGCACTGGTGGCGCCTGCAGGATTGCAACGTGTTACCAAAAGGGCGTTTGAGGTATGTCACATGCACTATATTAATGAAACTTTACGGACATTCAATCAAATTGAAGAACTCAGACAATCCTGTAAAAACACAAATAAGTGAGTTTCATGTGGAGGAACCTTTGGGATTAATTAGAGTAGAAACCATGAGCAACAAATGAACCCCAATAAGTATGGCTCACAATTCCTAACAAAACAACTTATAATCTAATATATATGTAGGAAATACATGTTTTTATTTATTTATTTTTTTCGCTAAGCCCGCCCCCTGTCTTGTAGAGCGCCGGTCAGCACTGACCAATGGCGTTAGACTACCGCACACGAACAGACGTCAATCACAGAGTGTGCTTGAGCGTTTAAGGACGTATCTTGGTTGATGCGGAGGTGGTGACCATTCTCATGGACAAGTAAGTCCCCTGAAGACCGTCTGTGCTGAGGTTGTGAGGTTAAGATTATATTTGGAAAATTTTAAAGTGACAATGTGTAGGCTTTAATCTCTGGAAATATTAGGGATGTTCCGATCATTTTTTTTGTTGCTCCAAATCCAATTCTGAGTCATTTGATTTTGAGTAACTGCCAATACAGAATCACAATCCCATACTTTATAGGAAAGAATTAAAATATGAAGAATAAAGGGAAAAAAATTCAGCAAAGCATCAAGAAGGAAACAAAACCGATCCAAGTTGTCCATTAAGTTTGACTTTCATTTGTTTTAGGAAGGACACTGACTAAAAATGTGTTTATACTATGAATGTATTCAGAAGTGGCAGCGTTGCTCTTTTTTCAAGTTGTTTACTCCCTCAGTAAGCTGCAGGGTCTCGGCCGATAAGTTAGCTTTTCCCAGCACAACACCTATCATGGGCACCGGATGCCCCCTATGCACACATTGCAAGTGGTTGTTGCTCTGTCTTCTCTGCTCGGTTTGAAACACCACCAAGCTGAAGACGTTTTAGCTCTCCTGAGGAGATGTGTTAGCTCTGTGTTAGCCGGCTGCTTGCTATGCAGCTTGGTGTCTGAATCCCTGCCTGCCTGAAATTGTGTGACATTACTATGTTGTTTTCATACAAAGAATTTTAACGTAGAGGAACTTGTTGTAATTAAAACTGAGCCATTGTCATTCCTTTTGAAATGTTTGTTGCTTTAAAGTCCCCATCCTTTTAAAATCACGCAATTCACCCGATTGGTACATCCCTAGGAAATACTGATCGAAATGTTGATGTAAATGAATTAAATGATCCCCAGTTGTTGAACAACATAGGCGGCTTCGTAGCGCATAACCATAAAAATCTGGTTTAAAATACATGGGAGCAGGTCTAAGTCTCTGGGCGGCGCCATATTAAGCACCATGTTTCCTTCTACGTGAGCCTGTGTGGACAAAATAAACTAGCTGATTTGTAACAAGCAGTTACAAAACTTTTGCCATTCATAAATGCTGTTTTACACATTTACCTCTTCACTTGATGCCAGCGATGAAAGGGAGCTGGAGGTTGAACGATCTGACAAAATACTCATTTGAAAATTGCGCTCCCAGGGATTTTTGACCCTAATGGCCATCTGTTGGTAAGGTCTTACTCAAACACAAAAATACCGCTTGCTTGCAGTGATTTAGGTATGTATTGCTAGGAAAAATACACACTATCAGTTTTTTAAAATAAAATCCCAATAACCCATCAAATAGTATAATCAAAACTGTATACGAGTTATACTTCTATATAAAATTTGTAATTAATCACTTTATATGTGTGTATGCAGGTATGAGTGGCACAAGCAAGGGAAAAGGTTGGTTGCTCTAGACGCCTGCTGGTGAGATCAGGCACTGAGTTGCGGCCTGCAGTCTCTAATCGTTCCAAAGGTGTTCTATCAGGTTGAGATCAGGAGACCAGTCAGGTTCCTCCATATTAAACTAATTATTTTTTAAATTCCTTAATTTTATAGGGACATTGTAATCTAACATAACACAAACTATTGCAGCTGATGCGACTCATTAGAGTCTATAGCTAGCTCCTGTTGCTGGATGGGATTTTCTATACAGCGTAAACACAAAAGTCCTAAATGACAACTAACAGACACCCACAGCACACTGAGTCTAACCTTCACTCATTCACATGTCAAACCAGTGTAAACTGCAAATGGATTAAACTTTGGGCTTCTTTAGGCCAGGAAGACTCAACCCTTCAGGTGAACGTCGCAAACAAGTCTTCAGTTCGGTTGGCAACGAGTTCCATGTTTTCACTGGAGCACCCAGGTGAGTTGATTTGGGTCCCCCAATACTTTTGGCAAAATATGTAGTGTGCATCATCAGTATGTTATAATAATATAAAACTAAGTGGAAACATTATGGTGCCCCAACAGCACCCCTGTAACATTGGTGGTGGGTGTGGTTCAGTGTGCTGCATCCCTGCTGCAAGATGGAGTTTTTAAGAAGCTGCTGCCATTCTAATTTTCTGATGAGTGTGAGTGGGTGTGTGTGTCTTACATTTCCTGGAGTCTATTTATGAACTGCTTGGTGAAATCCTTGATCTGGTCAATATAAAAGTTGGGAGGCTTCTGTCTGAGGGCCACACTCTCAGATGTATCCAGCACAAAGAAAAGGTCAACAGGACAATCTGTTCACAAGGAAAAACAAATCATCAACATCATCCAATGAAATGCACAGACTGATCACTCAGATGTGCATGGAGACCCTAAACCTAAAGGCCCAGGGGTATGACACATGCTGGGGGCTGTTTTAATCCAAAATGTTAGGAGGTGTTGTGGAGCTCCTACTCCTGAACATCTGCATCCATATAGGATCCACCTCTGCTACATGACAGCTTCAAGGCCCACAATCAGATCATCAGGCCTGCTTCTGACAGACCACAACTCTGCTTTAGTTCCAGCTCGTTTTGCTCCTGATATATTTGAGAATTACCGGCTTGGGACAGCTACAGTAAAATGGTCTAAACGGAATTATGACATCTGTGAATCCATTTATCATGCAACATGACGTCAAAATAGCTATTTATGAGAACGAAGGACCAAAAGAAAAACACTTACCCGCAAAGTGAGGTCTTTCCTTCGGCAGTTGCGCTCCAACCAGGAACGCGCACAACAACGCAAGGAGACCTCTGAGAGTCTCCATGATTCAAAAGCTTAACAGAAAAAAACTATCCCCAAAACTGGTCATACAGCTCACGGGTCCACAAAAGTGACCTCCAAGCTTCCCCCTAGTCCCCAAGTCGAACACTTGTGCAGTAATTTTGTAAAACTTTTGGATACCCCAGAACCCCGCCGCAGCCTGTCCGAGACGAGACCCAGAGCGCACCGTGAGAGGGAGGAGGGGGAGGACGGGGGGGAGGGAGGGAGGAGTTCAGGAGGACGACGAGCGCGCACAACCAAATCTAAGATGTGCACGCTTCCTTAAAAGGGTCCACAGAGACTTGATGCTTACAGAAACAAACATCTGGAAACTAGTGACTCCAACAGCTGCATGAGAACAGAGCTTCATCGCGTCTGACCCATTATGCCCCTTTTTTTGTCTTACAGGACCTGCTGGGACACCTTCCTCACATGTGCATACAGTCATTCAGGAAACTGATAGGATGCTGGAGTTTTCTTTCAGAGATGATGAAAATCAACATTCAGCACGGAAAGCTTTTTGTTGTTTGTTCTCTCCAGTAAAAAATCTGTTTCTGTGGAAGATGGAGAGGGTGGAGGCTCTATAGGCCAACATCTGGTTCCCTTTGGCTCCAGCCCTGATGAACATAAAAGCGAGCTGTGATGGATGGTGGTGTGTGTGTGTGTTTGGTTTGGAGGAGCTTCATCAGAAAGACACACAGCGCCATCTAGTGCTCACTATCTGCTTATTTTGGAAATCCCTTAGGAAAAAGTGTGTTTGGAGGAGTGTGGGATGTTCATTGGAAGTGAGGGGGTTGGATGTTGCACGATAGCAATGCTCGTGCACGTCTGTGCAAACTGTGGGACTTAAAAAAGGTCTGGCTTAGAATCAGATTTTCCACTGAGCTCACTAGAGGAAGGAGGGATATGGGGGAGAGAAGGGGACATGTGGTAATGATCTGCCTTTACTAGCAGGCTCTCATAGTAAATCTGATGGATTTTTAACAGCTGCGGGGCTCCTGCACATCTCAATACCAGCCTTTATTACAAAACTCCTAAAAAACAATCCAGAGGAATTTGCTGGACCACCACCAATTTTTCAGTAACTTTCTTTCCTATTTTTTACCATGATGAGGTTGGGGAAAACCAGCAATTATAAGTTAGAACTGTTATTACACACAAATCAGCTAAGAGGCTCATGAAGGACTGAAAACTTTTCCAGAGGATCTCAAAGTTCAGGCCAGATTTGCAGCATTTCCACGTCAGTGAGAAGGCATGCAGCTCAGTGCAGCCTCCAGTCATGAAGATGTGAACATCTTGCAACTTTTAACTCACCACATCCAGCTCTTGAGGATGCATTTCCCTGTGAACGGCAGACAGATGGGTATGACTGAGACAGATGACTCAGAAGTTGATCTTAAGTCAGAGAAGAACCAAGACCGCGATCCCAGTTAACGTACAATGTTGCACGACAATGACATGGTAGCAAAACAATGCGTTTAGGCATCCAGGCAGGTGAAGATGACATGCTTGAGTTCAATGTAAAGAGCTCAGAATTTGAACCACCAACCATCTGTCGGGTTAACAGAGAATGGTTCGAAAAATAGGAAACATCCAGTGATGCGGTTGTGTGAAAATATCTAGCTGAGGTCAGAGGAGAAGGAACAGGCTGGTAGGTGATTTAGGGCAGCAGTAGCTCAACAGGTTGAGCCGGTTGTCCAGTAATCAGAAGGTTGCAGGTTCGATCCCGGCTCCAGACAGAGAATTCTGCTGTTGTGTCCTTGGGCAAGACACTAAACCCACCTTGCCTGCTGGTGGTGGTCAGAGGGACCGGTGGCGCCTGTGCTCTGCAGCCTCGCCTCTGTCAGGTCAGTGCGCCCCAGGGCAGCTACATGGTAGCTCATCACCATCAGTGTGTGAATGGATGAATGATACACTGTAGTGTAAAGCGCTTTGGAGTCCTTCCTCTGCGAGGCGCTATACAAGTGCGGGTCATTTATCATTTATTTAGGCAACAGTAGCTCAAATTACTACTGGTTATGACCTCTGATGCTGCTGGTGAAGTGGTGGTGGGGTGTTCTGGTCCAACTGTGGACCGCTCAGTACCACCTGAGCCTGGTTTAAACCCCACAGCCTACTGAGTCTTGTTGCTATGTCTTAAAGACCACATGGACCCATCTTCTGCTGCTACTTCCAGCAGGATGACACACCATGTCATAAAAGGTCAGATCATCTCTAGATGAACATTTCTAGAACATGACCACGAGTGCACTGGACTTTAGAAATGAAAAATGAACGGACGCCAACGACCTCCAGTCACCAGATCTCAGTCCAGTTCGGAACCCCCCCGGGATGTGGTGGAACGGAAGGTTCTCATCACATGGATGAAGCTTATGTTTATGTATTTAGCAGACGCTTTTGTCCAAAGCGACTTACAAGTGATAATCGGCATGTTGCCCTTGAGGCTAACAACAACAATAACAACAACTTGACATCAATCATGGAGAGGAGGGAACAAAGGAGTGGACGGTAGAGAGGGGGGACGGGTGCAGGGAGGGTGCTAGTTAAGAAGATGCTCTCTGAAGAGCAGGGTCTTCAGGAGTTTCTTGAAAATTGAAAAGGAAGCTCCTGTTCTGGTAGTGCTTGGAAGGCCATTCCACATTTGTGGAAAGCTAGTGCGTTCATGGACCAGAACCTCTGAGGAATGTTTTCAACACCTTGTTGAATGGATGACTGATGAATTATGGTGGTTCTGAAGGGACAAATAAGCTTTAACCTGGTACTTGTAGGGTGTACCTAATAAAGTGGCCAGTGAGTTATAGTATTCACTTCAATTCTTTATGGTCTCCCCAACAAACTCCTTCATAAACTGCAACTGGTCCAGAATTCAGCAGCCCGTATTATCACCAGAACCCCTTCCTTTCACCACATCACCCCGGTTCTCCAGCAGCTTCACTGGCTCCCAGTTAAATTCAGGTCCATCTTCAAAATTCTCCTCCATACCTTCAAAGCAATCCACAACCTCTCTCCTCCATATATCTCAGACCTTATAAGTATTCACACCCCGTCCCGTTCACTCAGATCTTCTTCTTCCATCCATCTTGCGGTTCCTTCTGCCCATCTCGCTACCATGGGGAGCAGAGCTTTCAGCCGCTCTGCTCCTCGACTCTGGAACTCACTTCCCCCAGACATCAGGAACGTCGACAGTTTTACCCTTTTCAAAACAAAACTCAAAACACACGTTTAAATCTGCCTACAACCTCTGATTTTATTGAACTGTTTTCTCTTTGTTTTTTCTTCTTTGGGTTTTATTATTGTTTTATTGTATTTTATTACGTGTTTTGTGTAAAGTGACCTTGGGTGTCCTGAAAGGCACTTTTAAATAAAATGTATTATTATTATTATTATTCACTTCAAAAACAACTGAAGGAATTCTCTGAAGCTCTTCAACACTTCAGAAGCTGTGGGACTGTATGAGAAAACCACGAGGAAACTGAAAGCTAATCAGATTTAAACGAGGCCAAAGAAACAGGAAATTAACCAGATTATCGTTTCATCTTGCAGCAAATTAAATGCCGGATTAGTCGGCACAGCTCACGAAAACAGGAAACGTGCTTAATGGTCCCTTGCTGCCATCTAGCGAAACCCTTTTTTCTGCTGCTCAGACTTCACAGCCACGACCCAAAGCCTTAAGGGTCATGAAAATCTTACTGGTGTAAAAAAAAAACAGACCAAAGTAGAAAACATTGTGAATTATTAGTCATTCTCAAACCTTTGGTGATATTACAAGAACATTCACCGTTTTCTCCATCCGAACAGACTCAAGCAGAAAGTGTAATCAAGCTCATTTAATGAGAAGCTAAAAGCTGAAGAGCAAAGGAACAAAACAAGACTGTGTCAATAACATCCACAGCCTTCTTCTGCATGAAGGCCTTTTCAATAATACTGCCACAGGTTCTCTTTCATATTACACTTTGGCTTTTAGACAGTGACTCGTTTTAGTGTTTTATTGTATCATTGTTTTAATGTGTTCTTAGTATTCATCATGTTTTATCTGCCTTTGATTGAGATTTATATCCTTTGTTTTAGCTCCCTGTAATGGTTGTTTTGTTTTAGCCTGTGCTGCACTTTGGGCAGCTCCCATGCTGCATTCTAAACGTGCTATATAAATAAACTATGCTATGCTACATCTTCAGAACAGACTCATCCGGGCCGGTTTCTGGGCTGTGCTTGCGCTCACGTTCACATGAAGTTGTGGCGAGTCGACGCGATGAAGCGACGCAAAGCCACATCACACAAAGCATGGAGTAGAAACCAACTTAGCAGGTAGCGTCCCACTAAAAGCCCGGGAGCGATGCTCTAACAGCTAACCATCGTTTTAAATCCTGTATGATTTAAACTAAACGCTGCAGATCCGGTCTTCCCATCTGTGCCGTAAACGCGCGTTCCCTGTAACATTCCCACAGACTCAAAATAAGACCTAGAATCAAACTGTGTGAAGAGATGAGGAGAAAAAAACCAACATTTGTAGTGGAACACCTTTAGTTTGAGACAAACAGCAAAACATTGTTGAGCCTGAAAGTCCTGAGTTCTGTCGTCTGATTGGTAGGTCCTGATGGACCAATAAGATTTTAGTACCGGTGTCTGGCCAGAGAACTTTCAGTGTGTTCAGCAGCTTTTAGGATTCAGTTTAAGTTGGAGTGGCTCTTCAGGTGTCTTCTCAGGTGGTTGAGACAGGTGTAGGTCTTAGGACAGATCTGGCAGTGGTACGGTCTCACCCCCGAGTGGTTCAACATGTGCTGCTTCAGCACGCTTCCATCGGAGAAGGCCTTACCACACTGAGAGCACACGTACGGTCGCTCTCCTGTGTGCACGCGCATGTGAACAGTTACTTTGTGTGCCATTGTGAATCCTTTGCCACACACCGCACACTTGAACGGCCTCTCTCCGGTGTGGGTGAGCCTGTGGGTACGCATCGCTCCCATCTGGGAGAAGGCCTTCCCGCAGTCGGGGCACACGTGCGGCTTCTCGCCTGTGTGGACCCTGGTGTGACTGCGCAGTCCTCCCGCTGTGGAGAAACACTGGGAGCAGTGGGTGCACTGGTACGGACGCTCTCCCGTGTGCGTACGCATGTGCTGCTTCAAATCGTAGCGGTTCCTGAAGCCGCGGCCGCACACCAAGCAGTTCTCGGGCCGGTCGTCGTTGTGGCGCTGCTCGTGATTAGCCAGGCATTTTTCGGACAGGAAGCACTTGCCACATTCTTGACACTGATACGGCTTATCGTGGTCGACTCTCTGGTGGTACTTCAGCTCGCTGATGCCAGGAAAAGTCCCGTCGCAGTACCTGCACCTGAAGCGGTGGTTGGGGCTATACGGAAGCTGATGTTCACTCAGCTGATGATTCCTGAGCAAATGGGCCATCTTGAAGGCTTTGCCGCAATGAGCGCACGCATACTTTGTGAGCAGCTGCACACACTGGTGTCTGACCCGTTCGTGCATGGACCTGAACTGGGACCCACACTTGGTGCAGATGTGAGCAGCATTTTTACACTTTCTCTTCCTGTGCCCAGACAGATGAGCCTCTGTTCGGAAAGCTTTCCCACACTGAGAGCACTTGTAAGGTTTCACCGCTGTGTGGAACCGTTGGTGCTCCAGAAACTCAAAACGATACTTGAAGCTCCGCCCACACAGCGGACAGCTGTGAGCGACTCTTCCTCCCGGGTAGCCGGCTTTGATGAACATCTTCCTGGAGGACAGAGACGCTGAAGTCCGATGGCCCGAGCCGCCTCGTCCATGTTTATCTCCCGTCATCGGTTTGGCCGTCTCCATCCCTCCACCCTCCTCGTGCCGCTGCTGGTGTTTAATCAGACACTTTGAGGAGATAAAACTTTTCCCACATTGCTTGCACTGATAAGGCTTATCGTGATCTACTTGCTGATGATACTTCAGGTCGCCGATACCTGAAAAACCTGCACCACAGTGGCTGCACTTGAAAAGGCGGTTCTGGACGTGAGTCAGCAGATGTTCCTTCAGGCTGCTGGACTTTGGGAAACCCTTGCCACACTGCCCACAGCTGTGGCCACGCCCTCGCTTAGGGCAGTGGTGTCTGAATTTGTCCAGTGAAGTTGGAAAACTGTTTCCACATTTGATACAAAGATACGCCGCGTTTTTGCACTTCCGCAGCCTGTGACCAGCCAGCAGGGTGGCGGTTCTGAAGGCCCGGCCGCACTCTGAGCAGTTGTAGGGCTGCAGACCACTGTGGACTCTCTGGTGCTCGATGAGGACAGAGTGATGCTTGAAAGATTTGTCACACTCAGGACATTTGTGGACTCCCGACTGCTGCCTCATGCAAGGAGACGAAGGCATTTCAGTGTTTTTGGGGGATTCTGGAAAGTCCGTTGACGTGGAAGGGTTCGTGGACAGCTCTTCGTCGAATATGACGATCTGAGGGACATCTGTATTTTCATCATCACAAGGACTCGCGTGGGAAGTGATGGCCACTTCCAGGGATGGAGGGAGGGACAGAGACGGGATCAGAAGATCATCCGATTGAAACGGAGCTGCGGGAAAAATGAAAGAAGCGTTTACAACAATTAAACCAAACCACGGAGGCTTCCGTTTAAGATGCAGACATACCAACAGTGGTCTTTGCTAACTTTCCGTGGCACTGTTTGCTCTGGAGAAGAAATTTAAGGTCCTCTCCATTTGAGACACACTGCATGTACTCCTCTAGGACAGCAGGAGCAGCACTGATCCAAGACGCAGTCTGAAAACAAAAACGTCTACGTTAAAGTTAACAGAGGCCCTTTTTAATCACCATCTTCTACAGGAAAAAGTAGAAATTCAAAATTTGAACACTTAAAGAGCAAGTCACCCCCTACCAGATTCTTATTCAACTCCCACTTCCCGTTTGAAAAATGCAGCAAAGGCTGTTGCCTGGCAGAACGACAGGGCGAAGCCGCTAACAAATACACACAACATTGTGACATCATAATGTACCAGCTAACAACATAGTGTACCTCTTAGCCAATAGCAATGGCAGATTTGAATTCAAATGCAGTGCAGAGTTTTTGCCTGAAGAGGGTGCAACACTGACAGTTTTAGGCAGAATATTTAAATTTTACCTAAGATGCACTAAAGTGCCGAATTATTGACCACATGTGTCTACAGCACAATCAGACACTCGTTTATATAGTTTATCAGCAAAAAAATGTTGATTTGGGGTGACTTGTGCTTTCTCAACGTACAAAACTCTACACACACCTTACTTATTGATACAAGTACTGCTTTTCCTTTTCACATTTTAGGCGCCTGATCTTTATTTCCGTTTTGTGCTATCCCTTGACCAAAACAGGACTTGACCGAGTCCATCGACTATAATTTGTATTTAAGAGACAATTGTACCACTTTTTACTAGATAGATACATTTTACTTTCATAATGCTAACCTGTAAATAAAAGAACAACTTAAATATGCAGTGATACACTTGGATCCTACCACACTCAACACTAGCTAGGTTTCTGCCCAAAACAATGAAGCCGTGGCTAATATACCGTTCTCAGTGGCCTAGTGGTAGAGTGTCCGCCCTGAGATCGGGAGATCAGGGGTTCGACTCCTGGTCGGGTCATACCAAAGACTTTGTAAAAATGGGACCCAATGCCTCCCTGCTTGACACTCAGCATTAAGGGGTTAAACCACCAAATAGTTCCCGAGCGCGGCTTGTCTGCAGCTCACCGCTGCCCCAGGGGATGGGTCAAATGCGGAGAACAAATTTCACCACACACACCAGTATGTGTGTGACAACTGATGGGACTTAATAAAGACGAGCCTGCCAGACTCGTCCTCTGTTTAATTCTGCACAGAGAAAGAGTCTGGGAACTCACGGGCAGAGAGGCACTTGAGGGCGGGACTAGGCAGCTCAAAAATAAGCAATCAGAAAAAAAGACGGAAATGCCGACTGTACCACGCGACGCTGTAGTTTTGTTGCTGTAGTAATAAAAGGCGTCTGGCAATGACACAAACATCTTTCTTTAGAAGAAAGGCTTTTAGCGCTTCTACTTGTTGTTTTAAAGACCTGTCCACGTCATTTAGAACAGAGGAACGAGCCGCAGAGAACTCTGCTTCAGTTGCGATGTTTATGACAAACTCAGCGTCGTGGTGTGTGACGTATGCTGCTCAGCGCTGATTGGCTCGGTTAGAATTCTCAGGGGGTGGGGTTATTTGAATAGGAGAGTTCCCCGACCCTTTCTCTGTGCAGAATTAAAACAGAGGAGGAGTCTGGCAGGCCAGGCTACATAAAGACCACTCTGCACCACGGTCGTTCCGTCACTAAAAACACACTTGAGAGATTTTGACTTTACTTTTTTATCAGTGTGATGAAACTTACTGACTCAAACCCGACTTAGAGACCTGGTTTTATTTTTAGCCAACGGTTTTGAGTAAATCTTTTGTTTTTAATCAAAGTAATCCCAAAGAAGTGACTTTGTGTTGTTTTTAGTCTCGACTTATGCTTTATTTGGTCTTGAAATCACCAGAGGCTGCTGTCCTGCTCATAAAGAAGAACAAAACAAGTCGATACGACTGAAGGTGGCTGGTTGGAAAATGTTTCCTTTTTGACCAACTCAGATCAAAGGTGCCATTTTATAAACCTCTACTTTCATTCCTTGCACAGACATAAAAACAGCAGCTACATACGTTTCATGCTGTAAAACAACATCTTGCCTGTTTGAAATCTGGTATTGGTAGCAGCTCCTCAAGTCTTGTGAAAAATTCACAAACCAGCGTCTCTAATGCCGTGTCAAAATCTGGACCGTATTCCACCGGAAAGACATTCTGTTGGAAAGAAAAGTTTAAATGTTAAGATGATCCTCAGCAGCCTTAAGAAACTATTTAATGTAGAAAATCTGACATTTTAGGCATTTAAGATACGTTGGGATTGGGAATTATGCTTTTTCTACCTTGAGAAAGTGTTCTCTGCCATCTGTGTCCTCTATGAGGCCTTGTACCAGCTTCATGAAGTTAGCTTCTGGGGCTTCAATTACTGGATCATTTGTCTAGATAAAGGAACACAACCAACGGGTTGATCACATATGAAATAGCAGTCTAGGATGGCAAGTGATCATTTTCATCATCAGTGATCAATTTGTTGAGAAGACAGAGAAGTCCCACTTCCTACTGTTCAAATTCACAAAGAACCATTCAATGTTGAATTATTTTCATTTTAAAAGCTGAATATCAGTAAACACATTTCTATTTGTGTTAAACATTTCAGTTACTGCAAAACAAGTAGAAGAATCTCTCACCTCCTCAGCCCACGAAGATCGAATCCTGTTGAGATGAGTCTCCACAGCCTTGAGATCCTCGGGGTGTTCAGAGCGAAGCAGTTCCAGAGTCGTCTAACGGAAACACAGTTTGTCAGTATGGTGCTGCCCTCCCATCACCCTCTCTGCTGTACTCCTGTGTGTGTTCAATCTGAAACTTTTCATTTACCCTTGCTCTCAGGCCCAGAGACAGCAGTCGGCCCTCTCGTTTACTCATCAGCTCCGGTACAGCATCTGTTACCGTGGACACAAACTCCTCCAGTTTCCCATAATGCTTTATGTTCCGCCGCCTCACCACTTCCCACATCACTGCCGACATCAGCCGGAGTGGTGGGACCAAGAGTGCCAGGGAGGACAGGGGAACGCTGAATTCTTCAGAGAGAAAAAAGTCACTTTGGTTTGACGCAAAATTAAAAACACAGATGAAAAGTTTATGGCCTGAGGTTCATTTCCAGAACTAATCTAGCTCTATTGGTAAGCTTAAGAATGAAAACTAGCTGATGTTTCGCTGTTCACATTCCTTATTTTAAAATATAATCATGAGAACATGTTAAACTGTCCACATCGTTGCTTCAGTTGGACCTTTTTAACATCAGGTCTGCCTCAAGTTTGAAGGCTCTTAGATATTTTTTTACGCAAATCTATACCAATCGAGATATGATTCTCTCACCCTCTCTCTCTCTCTCTCTCTCGAGACACACACAACTGTTTCGATAAGACCAGTTCACCGTCGCTACCAGCTGGTCCACAACCCCTTAAAAACAATGCTCTTATTAAAGCTCTCGTTAAATGGCCGGAGTTGTCTTGAAATGTTATTGATTTAATGTTATAGATTCACAACACTGTTAACACGCTAACATTAGCAACAAGGACGCTAGAGCTCCATAGCAAAACACCGGCTTATCAGTACGCGAAACAATTTTTGTGCCAGAGATTAGTCCAGGCCCGTTGAGCCTTAGCTAATCCTTCGCTTCAGCTATTCGGTACAGGCAGAGAAAATAAAAACACAAAACGGGAGTGATTTTCACTCGATTATACATACCCATGTCGTTCATTTTGGAATTCTTTAATGACTTCGGTGGAGAAAAAGCTCAATACTACGGATAATCTTTCATAGTTTTAGCTAGCATGCTAGCTACTGAAATGCGAAACATCAGGCGCCAACTTCTTCCTGAAACGCACTGCTCTTAGCTACAGCGTTTAGCTCAGTCAGTGGCGTCTGTAGGGTGATGCTCGATTCTTTTACAGGGCAGCCCGGATGAAAAGCACTCCAATTCATTTTACCGTCAAAATCACATGCACCGCTTCACCGGACACCCGGGAGAACATACCAAACCAAAACAACAATGGACGAAATCTTTTGGTATCCAAATTAAAAAATGTAATAGAGTTTACGATATTTTAAAAACATCTTACAGAGACATAGTTTTGCCATTTCTATTGGAACAGCATCAGAAAGTGATCAAGAACTTTTTAAGATAAATCATAAATATTTCTACTGCAGCATAGTCGTTTTTTGGGCCATCATTTAATTCTGTCAGAATATTAAGATAAAAATTAGTATAATTATATTTTCAAGTAAAGAAGACTTTATTTTATTACTTATTTGAAGACATTGATGTTATAATTTTATTGAAACAGACAGTATTTTACCCTGAGCACTCAACAAAAATTTTAAAATATTGGTAGTCACTTTGACTGAAATTTCACATAAAGTTAGGTCACTTGCCTGTGCTTGCCCACTTCAAAATATTGTTTTTCTTTATGCAATGGTAAAAGACATGCCAGTCTTTACCTGTCCTAGACTCAGGCAACTGTCTGACAGGATGTCAGGAATGGCTTCCCTCACCAGGTTTCTTTACTTTCCCAAATCTCAGAGGTGGATGCAGGAACTGGGAAATGATCATTGTGAGCAAACTGCAGAACAATATAAAGCATCTATACAACCTCAAAAATTATTAATGAAACATGCTTTCATTAAACAGTTTGTAACACATTCAATCAACACATTAAAAAGTCCTGATTAATTATTTCATTTTAAAACTTTAAATGAGAAATAACTATGCAGATCTATTTATTTTATTCTCTCTTGAATCAGACAGAGGAGGGGGAATCATTTAGGGGTTTTTAATGTTTGCTATACACGTGTTTGAGATAAATGTCCTCCCAAGTGCTGAAATGTTAAAAATTGTGGTTTGTGACTGCACTGTAGATGCACAAGTGCCCATGTGGTGGCAGTGATGGTAATGAAACCATGATGGCCCAGCAAGTACTTATCTTGGGATTCATAGGAGAAGTAATTAGATAGTGCTTCATCAGACCATCTGGACACTGTTAGCCACCATGACTAAGTAAATCCCTGTAGAGCATGCTCACTGACAGAGGAAAGCATTTACCTAAAAGGCCATGTCCTCTTTTTTAGTTATTCATTTCCCAGCTCTCTTGGTGGGGTCAGCCTCGGTATCCTGCAACCATTTTTACTAAAACAACTGGGACTTTATTTTCTGTCAAATCGAAATGAGCTAATGAACTTTACGCACAGAAAAGTGTTTCAGTCCATGGGTGGCGGTTCTGATCCAATTTCATGTCTCCGAAAGTGAATTCAAGGAAATTCCCTTTAGTTCCCACTCAGAGATAGAGAATTGTTCTTTATGTCCCAGAAGGAAGGACCAAGGTCCCACTGTGAAATGGACTAAATTCAGCAGATCTTAAAAGATAGTAATGATTTAAATATTGTGACAACAGCTGACGATTGGCCATGGATGGAGCAGTAAATCAAGAGCATCGAGTTGTGTGTTCAGCAACTTTATCAGAATGCCCTTGTGGTTAACATAAAAGGGCGTGGCTTGTAGCCCCCAAGAGAATGACAACTGCATTAGATAGTAGAAACCTTCCGGTTCCTAAAGTTGACACCATCATTTTAACAGCTACACTCCAAGGAGCTGCTGCACCACAAAAAGGGTTCTTAGAAGGGGTCGTTCCTGGTGGAGTCCAGCATGCGCCACAAGTATCAGAGAGATACAAGAATCATCTCTGCAGCCTCAGGACCCTTGCAGCTGTTGAGTCAGTGCGCTGCACCGAAGGCTTCTTGAACAAAACACCAAAACTTTGCCTGATGAAGGAAGCATATAAAGCAGACAAGAAAGGTATTAACCCTCCCACTGTCCTAACGGGTGAGGAGTGAGCGCTGCCTCACCCCTGCCACATGGTCCTCAAGGAATAAACCATCAACCCTGCTTAATGGTCAACTTTCCTCGCGGGGTCACACCCGTTAGGACAGTGGGAGGGTTAAGAAAGAAACAAGGTTTTTCACTGGCTGAGCACAGACCTCAACTCAGTCAGCAATGTTCTCCAAACCCCAATGAACTCGAGCAACATCTTACAAAATGATGCAAGACTAATAAATTCACGCAGAAGACAAATGTTTTAGATTAAGGCTGCAAAAGGGGTTGCATGATATTGAATCCCTGAGTTCAAATAAACTTTGAACATGAAGTTTATCAAAATTTACATGTCACTCTTCTCAAAGTATGTTCACATCTTTGCACCGGGGTCAAGGGGAGCTGGTATCCAGAGGTCTGTAGATGAGGGGTGGGGTCATCACAAGGCCACATGGAACAAGGCCCATGTAGATTCACCACCAGCTCCAACGAGTGTTTTTGGTCCAGGAGGAAACTCGAGGATCTTCTTGCTGCAAACCAACCGTGCTACAACTCAGCTGCTATACGATCAGTTTGGGATGAATTACATAGTGATTGCAGTATTTACTGCATGCTGGTGCATTTTGTAATTAGACATAGTGCCTTTTTAATCTTTTTAGAAATGTTTTCTCTTAGTGAATGAAGCTTTAATCTCCACCACATGTTCATGCGCTTAAAAATCGGATCAGTAACCAAGTCACATTTAGCAAATTCACATTTTCTTGGAACTTCAAAAACAAAACCCAAATTAATTTAATCATGAGCAAGAAGAGCAAAAGTTGAGTGCCCATGATGAGTCAATGCATGAATGTGTAACTTGTGTGTGTGTGTGTGTGTGTGGGAGAAAAAGACTGAATGTGTGTGTGTGTGTGTGTGTGTGTGCGTGCGTGCGTGCGTGCGTGCGTGCGTGCGTGCGTGTGTGTGTGTGTGTGTGTGTGTGTGTGAGAGAGAGCGAGAGAGAAAAAAGACTGAATCTGTGTATGTGTGTGTGTGTGTGTGGGAGAAAAAGACTGAATGTGTATATGTGTGTGTGTGTGTGTGTGAGAGAGAGAGAGAGAGAGAGAGAGAGAGCGAGAGAGAAAAAAGACTGAATGTGTGTATGAGTGTGTATGTGTGTGTGTGTGTGTGTGTGTGTGAGAGAGAGAATGGGAGAAAAAGACTGAATGTGTGTATATGAGTGTGTAATTAAAACAAGTGATTTTTTAAAAACATAGATTATCCTTCTATCCCAGCTGGTCAGCACTGGATTTGACCACACTCACAACCAGAGAGAGGAAATCTCTTTGGAGCTAAATCCAAATTGGCACCCTTGATCATTTTTTTTTATTTTAACTGAACATGAAAGCCCAGTAAGAATCTGATTTCAAAAGCTTATCAAAAAGTCATGTTAACTTTGGAAATATGTGAGTGAGAAGGCATGATGTCAGGCGTGCTGGTGAGTGAAGCGGAGGTGAGGGTGGCAGGCAGGCAGGCAGGCAGGCAGGAAGGCAGGCAGGCAGGCAGGCAGGCAGGCAGGCAGGCAGGCAGGCAGGCAGGCAGGCAGGCAGGCAGGCAGGCAGGCAGGCAGGCAGGAACTTTTTAAACGAGGATTTAATCAGGAACATGCAGGACAATGAAACAATGAACCGACAAAAAACGCAGAACTGAGAGGGTTTAAATACATGAGGGCTGGGAGCTTGGGTGATTGGAAAACGAGAGGCAGGTGGGAGCAATTAACAGAGACACATGACTGAACAGAATGGGGAGACCAGACAGGGTGTGACTCATAACACAGGAATACATTATTAAGACATTTTAGGGCTCTCTAAACTTCAAAGTCTAAAGTTACGCTATTGATGAGCTAAGGGTTAGGGGTTTGGTGGCCTAGGGGTGGAGCACAACCACAAACAAAACGTATTGCTGCCATCTTAAAACCACATCAGTCTCCAAAATTTCTAATTGTTTCATGAGGATTTATTTTCTAAACATTTGGTATGATTATTGACACGGGAATTTCTGGTTAAGCCCAAACATCACCAGTAGCAGCAGAACCTTCTGGTGAGTCCAAAGGTCATGTCTGACAGGGATTATTTTATGTTTATGATGAAATGATTATGTAAGTCAAAATGTGCTATGTTGTACAAGGTTGCACAAACCACAGTAAAGCTTATGAGGCTGGACGCCCAGCTTACCTGTGGAGAAAGCTGATTCCAGCCACTTGGAGATGTTGTTTTTCGGTCACTACCCAAAGCTCATAATCGGAGAGGAGGGTAGGAATGTCGACTGACCGGTAAATTGAGACATTGAACTTTCAGCTCAGTTCTCTCTTCACCACAACAGTACAGCGTCTGCATGACTGTATACAGTACCAGACCGCCTCTCCCAAACAAGACCCAGAGATAATCGAACTCTCCCATTTGAGGAAGGACCTTGTTTCTGACCCAGAGAAGACATTTTACCCTTTTCCAGCTCAAGACATTGGTCTCCGATTTGGGGGTGCTGACACTCATCCTGGACACTTCGCACTCAACCACAAACTGCTCCAGTGAAAGTTGGAGATCACAGTCTGATGTTGCCAACAGGACCACATCTTCTGCAAAAAAGCAGACTTGATCCTTAGACCACCAGAACAGATCCCCTCAACACTTTGGCTGTACCCAGAAATGCTGTCCTTAAAGGTTATGAACAGAATTGGTAAGAGAGGGCAGCCTTGGTGGAGTCCAACCCTGACAGAAAAGGAACCCGGTTCTGATCATACAGGGACCTAACAGCCCACAACAAGGGGCCTGGTGCTCCATACTCCCAAAGGTCTCCACCCCAGAACTTCCATGGTTGAGCGCCTTCTCCAAATCCAGAAAACACAAGACGATGGGTTGCATCCTCCAGGACCCCTCTGTAAGGGTAAAGAGCTGGTCTAGTGTTCCACGGCCAGGACCAGGGTCGGCGTTAGGCCCGGCTACTTGGGCTGAAGCCCCGGATGTTTTATGAAAAGCCCGGATCTAAATCGCGGAAGTAACATGCAGTACCAAAGTCCAACAGAGAGGGAGCAGCTGGCAGTAGTTTGTATACAGCCTGCCTGAGCCTCCACCACTGAAGAAGAAGCCCTTCAGCAGCCGGCTTCTTCTACACTCTCTGCCTGAAACGCATGAGTGAAGATGGACATAAGGACGTTTTTTAGACCAAAAGTACAACGACAGAACCCCAGCTTTGATGAGACTGGTGCTGACTCAGGTTTGTGAGTCTTATTTGAAAATATTTGTTGTGCTGCTGGTTTGCCTAAAGTTAGCTTATCAGGTAAAGTTGTTGGAGAAAGAAAGGGAATATTTACTATCATCTCACACTAAACACTAACAGGAACAATACTCTGCCCTGAAAATGCTTAATGTGTAGCTTCAGATTAAAAATTATGTGGTACAAGCATCGACATTAATATACAAGACATATATGATGTTGACTAGTGCGTGTCACGTGTGTGTGTGTGTGCGCGCGTGTGTGTGTGTGTGTGTTAAGCCCCGGATCTTCTTCAATCCTAAATCCGCCCCTGGCCAGGACAAAAACCACATTGTTCCTCCTGAATCTGAGGTTTGTCAATCCAGTGGACCCTTCTCTCCAGAACCTTTGAACAGACTTTAGAGGCTCAGAAATGTGATTCCCTGTGGTTGGAACACACTCTGCCCCCCCCCCTTGAAACCAGGGAAGCCCTATCCTGGTCAGCCAAAAACAGCAGAACAGAAACACACATAAAAAAAGACCACACAATATTTAAAGGGCAACACAACCATGAATGCAGACTTCCACACAGATCCGCGTTCATCCATCTTGTTTTTAACTTAACGAGGAAGTCCAGATTTATGGAAAAAGAAGTTTTATTACAATTTAACAAAACAAGCTATGAAATATTTTCCCCTCAAACATTACAGACGATCATGTTCTCAAGGAAAGTCTTTTATATAAAAATGAACACCTCATATAATTTAAACGTATTTTGTGACCACCAGAAGAGTCACCAGAGTGGCCTTTTGACATAAAACAGCAGGTCTCACATACATCAGACTCGCAGCTCTCCACAGACTTCACGACAAAAGAAATGTGCTTCCAGTGCAATCACACCAGTCCGATCCACATCCATCAGGTCTAATTAAATGGTCTAAAGAGATTCAGAGAAGTGTGCGGACAGCCATCAGAATTAGGCACATGGATTATCAGCATACGCAGCCCTTCTTGTAACCGACACAGACGTGGACGCTGCAGATTAAATGTGCTCATGAAACTAATCGTCAGATTTTCACATCAAGATGAATTGGCTTGAAATGCATGGGCAAAGATCATTTTATGACTCATGGTACTTATTAAAAATAAAACTATTTAGTTGAACATCTTTTGTATCATTGTGCATCAGTTAGGCGTACGCGTAACGCTTTATTTGCTCTAAATAAATAATATGTGAACCAAAGTAGAAAAATAGTTTGGATGTTTGGCTGCACAAAGAAATAAATTGTAAAGCACTTTGTGGGACCGAAACAAGGATTAAAGGTGCTGTGTACGTTTGGACAATTGACCCCGGGTTGAGGAAAGTCTTATTTGTGGGACAAATAAATGTTGATCTCTGTTTTCAGAAGAAAGTTGAGATTTTTAAACATTTATCACATATTTATAAAACTGTCTTTGACTGAACTTTATTTTGAAATAGCTGCAAAAAGTTTAATCAGGGGGATTCTACCTATTGGTGTTATTTAAAACGTGCAGAGATGAAACATTCTGTAGCATCGGCGGAAATGAGGTTAACTCATACTGACCAGAGATAAAACCACGAGTTCACAACATCTAACAATAACCGTGTGCTCAGCGGCACTAAATATTAACAAAACTGCTGCGCGTGTGGAGGGTGAAGCCGTCAGAATGCTGCTGCCAAACGGCAGATGGAATAAAGATATTCGTGTTTTGAGGACGAAATAGCATGGATCCATACCATGCTGATGTTTAAATGCTTTAAAACGCCCAGTTCATGTGAGGAAAACCAAAAACTTTCCAGGGCCACCGTGGGAACCCCTTCACACAGGATGGAGAGCTCACTGCTAAAGGATCGGTCTACCAGAACATGAATGGCCTTTGAAGGGCCTTAGAGGTCAACATGTGTTGGTTTTTCATCATGGTAGCAGAGCCCTGGGGGGGGGGGGGGGGGGGGGGGGGGGGGGGGCATGGTGGTGGTGTAACCATATCTGGGGATTGAGTATAGTCTGTGATGAAAATGTGCTGCTGCTATGGTGCGAGTGAACTTAGAAGCCTTTAGATAAAATATATAAAGAGATGACATGATTGCTTCCATTGTGAATTTTTTCAGTCCTAATTATCTCACTTTAGATTGATAAAGGTCATGTAGAGCACACTGTGTCCTAATCCAGAGTGAAGGAGTGAAACCAGGAGATGAAGGAGTCATGTGCTGTCACATTGTACAGATGAGGACTGCCGGATAACCAGGGTACACACATGGAAATCCATAAAGTGAAGAAACAACATTTTATTCTACGTACGTCTTGTAAACCTACGGCTGTTTATGGTTGTAGTTGTGTAAAAGCTGAAGGACGTGTTTCTCTGTCAGTGACACTTTAAGCAACATTGTGTAGAAAAAGAAAAGTTAACCGTGGTTTTGTTATTATTCAAAGACCAAAACTGAGTTTATAAAATGATTTGAGGACAAGTTTAACCTTTGAACCCTTCACATGCTGCCTTGACGATAACTATATAACATATAGTCATTATATAAATTACATCTATGTAACATTGTTATTCTACTGAAACAGAGGCTGTGAGCTACTTAAAAATAATGGTTTTTGTCCCTTATAAAATAATAAAAAATCTGACTAGAAAGTGTTTTCATCACTTATCTCTGATATCTGGAACAGACATTTGATTATTTTCAAATCAGCTGAGTTTTAAACAAATGTTTCTTCATAGTTTTCATCAGCAAGTTCAGAGCCTCCAGATGTTGATCTAAGTGGACCAGGTGTGCTCCGGGAGGCTTCCCAAGGTCAGCAGTGTGTCCTCGGTGTCTTCGTCCGGTGCCTCCGTAGGCCCGTAATGTTGTATCATGGAGGCGATCAGCCCCTCTGTCTCCGGAGCGCTCTCCACGTCCACCACAATCTCGTAGTTTATCTGTCTGTAAAGGTAGGATGCCTGCTTCACTTGCCGGCGCACCAGATGCCTCCTGTAACACCTCTGGATGATGATAGCAGAAACCTCCTCCATTTTGTGGCGGAGCGTGGATGTGATGGGCTCATGGGAAATTTTGGAGGGGTTGGTCACCATGAACTTCTCCTCCATCTGCTGTTTGAGGGTGTCCATGTCACCCGACTCACCCAGCACACGCTTTGTGAAGGCAAACAAGATGTCCAGGCAGTGGATCCTGTCCCCGCTGACCATGGGGAGGTCCATAGAAATCAGATGGACCTTGTTGGGCTTTGCGATGCGCAGCGGCTCCGAAAGAGCGTCGGCAAACCTCTCCAGCTTTGAAAACTCTATGAACTGCGTGGCCTCAGAGTCAAACTTCTCCCAAACCTCATAAAACATTTCAAAGTCGTCCTCGCTGAGCGGTTCTGTGCTTTCCTCCGTGGCGACGCTGAAGTTCTCCAGAATGATAGCTATGTACATATTTACCACAATGAGGAAAGAAATGATGATGTAGCTGACAAAGAAAGCAATGCCCACTGACGGGTTTCCGCAGTTACCCCGGGTGTTGGTGCCAGTGTTGACGAAGTTAATGTCACACTCCTCTGGGGAGCTGGACATTATGGGGCTCAGGAGGTTGTCCCAGCCTGCTGAGGTGCTGATCTGAAAAAGGCAGATAATACTGTTCCCAAAGGTCTCAAAGTTAAACATGTCATCAACCCCATCTTGTTTTTTCACGTAGGCAAAGTTTGCCATACCAAAAATAGCATAAATGAACATAACAAGAAATAGCAGGAGGCCAATATTAAACAGCGCTGGCATGGACATCATTAAGGCAAACAGTAAAGTCCTTATTCCTTTGGCTGCACGTATAAGTCGAAGGACACGCCCTATCCTCGCCAGTCTGATGACTCGGAACAGGGTTGGAGAAACAAAGTATTTTTCAATGATATCAGCAAGGACGATCCCTGAAACCAGGAGAAAAAAGGGGAAAGAAAATGTGTCTAACAATAAAAGTTTTTTTTTCTCATGAACAGTGAATGACAACTAAACATCCATCGTTAATCATTCATCTTATTTGCTGTGTGTGCTGATTCTTACCCACTATTGAGAGTATTATCACCACAAAGTCAAAGACGTTCCATGCAACTGTGAAGAAATAACAGCGGAGAGCAAAGATCTTGATCAGGCATTCGGTGGTGAAAATGATGATGAAGACCAGGTTGATCATGTTGAGGATGAACTCCATCCGCTCTGACTGCTGATCGGTTTCCACCATCATGGTCACCATGTTGACAATGATGAGCATCATGATCATGATGTCAAAGGCTTGCTGGGACACCAGATCAAAGAAGAAGGCTTGGAGAACATTCTGAGATGGAGGAAAGAAAACAAGCTTGTGAAAAAAAAAACAATTCATTGTTTGTTCACTCATTCATCCATTAAATGTTGTAAATGTTCAGTTTTCTACCTGTTCTGTTCATCTTCCTGAATGACCTCTGCTCAAAGAAATAGAGTTAATGTTCTACAGGACTGATATGCTAATGGCTAGTATAAATACAGCCCGTGTCATTTAAAAATGAATGATTTATAAAAATGTTATTTTCTAAACCTATACACTTTCATACACTTTTACAAAACAGCAATTTAGACTAAGTTCACTCGTCTTTTCAACCCATTTCAAGTGGTTTCTGGTATAAATGAATGCCTAGAGTCGATTTCTGTGGGAAAAAGCTCTGACACTCCTGTTTCAGGAGGTAGAATTTAGCCAGAGAGGTGAGCGGAGAAAATGGCGTGTTTTGGAGTCTTATTTCCTGATATTCTGACATCTCGCCTCTGATTGGCTAGCAGGAACACAGCTCCATCACAGGCTGTTTGCTCTGCAACACTGATGTTTCTTCTCCACAAATAACACAAGCCTAGAGGAGTTCTGATTTATTGTAAAGTTGTTAATGCTAATGGTTAGCTTCTATTAGCTGATCATGTGCTCTGCTCTCTCCTGGATGCTAAATCAACAACAGCCTTCCCCGTCGCGAGCCATGATGGGTGAGACCATGAATGCTAATTTTCTATGTGACGTAGAAATGACTTGCATTTTCTTATCTGATTGTTTGCCTATCTATTTTCTATCAGTGGCCATGCAGGAAATAGGGATGGTGTTACACAGTGAAGTGTAGTGAGGACAAAAGAAACATGATGACTTGGTCGATAGACAAGGAAAACCAGTTTTATTTCCTCTGGTCCGAAAAAAACAAAATCAGAAAATCCCAGCACTATTCAAAATGGCCACCCATCCAACTCTCTTAGCAGTCTCTGTCACTTTCAGAGAGGAAAAACGACCCTTTGCCACACCCAGCAGTCCACCTATATACTCTCCGACCCCCCCCCCCCTCCAATTCAGGTCGGCCAATCACATCAGTCCACTCAGGCATTTCCTATATGAAGGCAGCATTAGAGGTGGGCTTCCTCTTTAGCTGCTTCAAAATGGCTGCCACAGAGGACACCTCCTGAGGGTAACAAACAAATTCATGTTACATAACAAATTACATTCCTGACTGAACACTCTTTGGTTTAAAGACATGTTGCTTCTCAACAGATGGAAGACTAATATCAGGTTTAGCCAGCGTGTCAAACTGAGAATGATCGATCATAATAAAAAAAAATAACCAGTAAAAACCGGTTTCTCCTTAAACTTGGTATTTAAATTCTATTCTGTTCATTTACTAGCATATTTATTACCAGCAGCAGGGTGCAGCCAGAATTTGAGTCCAGCAGGAGTTTTTTAATTGCTAAACCATATAATGTAAGCAGTGGTGTCCAGAGAGCAGTATATGGGCCATTTTTGGCCCTGGATGTCACGTCCTCGCCCCTCAGCCACCTCGCCGCCTGCAGAACCACAGGCTAGAACTCCATCTCCCATCTTCCCTCACTCCACGCAGTTCTCACCACGTCATCGCTGTCACCCTCATAAGCCGGAAGAGGACAACGCACCACACTCAGTCATCGATTCTTCAATCCATGTTTGAGTTCCAAGCGTTCATGCTCTACTACCAAACCACCCTACTCTATCGACATAAAAGCAAGCTGTTTCCCTTACTTTCTGGAACACTATTTCACCCCCGCTCTCCATCGGGCTTGCGCCGGTGTTCCTGGATTAACTGCGTGACAGCAGCTCCCACCATTCGCTCATCCGCGTCTGGGTTCTCTAATCACGATACATCCCCGCAAACGCCATTGTTTGTCTGCGTAGCTCTCACCTCATTACACTGGAAGGGAAATTCAAGAGTCACAGAACTTTACCATCCCAGCACAGATAGCTGAAGGAGGAAGACATTTAAAAGATAAACATTTTATGAATGAAAGGCTTGTTGAAAAATGAAGGCATTATCAAATCTAAACGTTTAAGTAATATTCAAAGTATTTGTCTTTTATTTGCAACTTTTTAATTGTATTTAATTTTCTGCTAAACAGAAACACTAACCTCCACCATCTTTTACCAAAAGCTGTTTAAGGAGCTCTGTCCAAGGCTGTGTTTGCTAGCCGTTAGCTCATCAATCCTGTCAGGTGTAAACTGTGTTTCTTCAAACAGAGGTCACTCAGTAAGTAAGATATCACTATTTATAACTTTTCCACAGATTCACATGTGATAAAATAATCTACATGCTGATGATTTTTACCCTTAAACATGTTAAAAGGATCAGGAAAATGTTTTTATTTTGACTTGTTTCCTTACCGCAGGCCTCGGTATCGGCTTTTGAGGTTTCTTAGTTCCTAACTTTTTCATGGCATTGTAGTACTTCTTCTGTTCTTCAGTCATAAAGATATCCTGTCCACCTAATTATAAACGAAAACAAATCTCGCATTATTCATTAGTGAAATGTTTTATGAAGGCTTGAAAAGCTTCTTGCAAGCGTAGTGATTCAGACTTTTTGTGCTTAACACTCATCTTTCTTTTCTGCTGATTGAAATTGTCAATGATGACACCAATGAAGAGGTTGAGGGTGAAGAAGGAGCCGAATATGATGAAGACAACAAAGTAGAGGTACATGTAGAGGTTGATTTCTCTGATGGGCTGTTCTTCCACCTGAAAACAGATGTCATGAGCTATTTGCTACACAGACATTCGTACTCTGGTCAAAGATGAGCACACTTACTCCTCTTGAATCAACAGCTGCATTCATTATTTCCATCCATCCTTTAAAAGTTGCCTAAAACACAAAACAACATGTCACTGGTCTCGTCATTGTCAACAGCTGGTTTCATCTTGCTGAAAAACGCGACCTCCTGTCGTTGAAACACCGAAACAAAAGTTGCCTCGGATGATTATTGAACCATAACTGTCTACAAGCCTCGTGGAAAACACGAAGTTAGGTCAGGAGATGAAAAACAGCTCACCACTTGCAGAAGGGAGAGGTAACCCAGTCCAACGTTGTCAAAGTTGACCTTGACTGTTGTCCAGTAGAACTGAGTGTCATTCATGGCGAGACAGTCGGACTTGTTGTTGACAACGGAGACACTGTGGGTGAAGCCCGTTCGGTTCACACACTTCCCAAACTTGCCTGCAAACAGGTTGACTCCCATGATGCTGAAGATGAGCCAGAAGATAAGACACACGAGCAGCACGTTCATAATGGAAGGGATGGCTCCTATCAGAGCGTTCACAACCACCTGGAAAAACAAAAACCACAGCTGTCCTGTACAGTCTGCCTCAGAGCCAGTGAAACAACTCACTCCTGCTAGTTTACGCTCCTGTTTGCTGAAAGACTGGAATGATTAGAGTTACTCCAAAAGAGGGTTGTGGTTGACTCCAGCAGTCGTCAGGCGAGAGGTGGGGGACACCCTGGATATGCCCCCAGTCGTCACAGAGACACACACTAACACCTAGGAACCATTTAGAGTAACAAATCTACCTGACATGTGTGTTTTGGTCTGTGGGAGAAAAACCAGAGCACCCAGAGGAAACCCACAAATGCACTGGGAGAAGACGCGGCTGCAGCCAGCATTTGACCCCAAAACAGAATCAATACATTCTCACCCTCATGCCCTCAAATCTGGAAAGAGCTCGGAGCGGTCTCAAAGCTCGGAGCGTCCTCAGTGACTTGATTGCAGAGAAGTCTGAATATCCCAGAGAACTCGCTACCAAGCTGATCAGAGACACCTAAATGGAGCACAGAGGAGCCCTTGAACTATTTAAATCTTATTAAAATAAAAAAAGAAAACATATATAGCAGAAAAACACAAACACCTGAAGAGCCATGTTTATTAATTGTTGGTGTTTTGGGACATTCCACAGTTAGAAACACACCCATTCTTTTGGAAGTTTTAGATTTGGTTTAGATTTGGTTTAACGGGACGTTTCCACTCTATTCTACATCCAAAACAGACAAAACAAAATGGCATTCTGCTGTTGAATGACCCTTGGATGACTGCTACATGAATGAAGATGACAGATTATGATCGGTGGCAACAAAACACAGACAAGTATGCACACATGCTCCAACATGCATGCATACCCAGCTATATATACATTTAAATATGTATATATATCAAATAGAGTGAGTTTTATAAAGAATATTTATCTTTGCCAAATTTATTTTCCAATTTGAATTAAACTGGTCCAGCACATTAATAAAAATAAAGCAATTTAAAGCTTAGATGAGCCCAATGTCCTGCTTTCTTTATAAAAGTCAATTTAGAGATGCGTTATATAAATATATCTAAAGAAGATATTTGAAATAAATTTTGTTTGCAAAAGATGTATTTGGCTCCACAAACATACAGTACAGACAGAAGGGTGTTTCAGCAGAATAAAATAGTGACGTTGCATTAAAAAAAAACAAAAATAAAGACAAGCAGGAATTATACAAAACAATATTAGCTGAAGCGTTTCTGCAGAAAAATTATCAAACTAAAGATGCTAGACACATTTGTAGAGTATTTTATTAGGAACATAAGATCTTCTGTAGATAATCTTCATGTCACTGTTTGTTTTTAATATAAAAGCCAAAGTCCTCAGTCCAAGACTGACTACTGAGACATTTTTGGCGACAAATTGATTTAATCTTCACGGCATTTGACTGGAACCAAGACGGTGGCTTTTCATATCAAAACAAAAATGACTTACGAGTGAAGAAACACAAGTTTTCTGTGATGCAGATGCAAGTGTCCAAAGTCACCAGACACCAGCTAACTCCAACTTACCCTAACAATAGCTCGGTCTGTGGAAATCTGTGTAACAGCAGGTAGAATCAGAGGATGTGCAATTTGTCTTCTTTAATAATTAACCCACACAAACCCTTTTGAGTTCATCTGGCAAGTTCTTGTCACAAAACAACAGCGCTGACTGATTTGCAGGTCTGGTCAACAATACCCATGAGCAGCCTTTCATGACGAAAGAATAAAAACATGCAAAATAGTCACTCACGTCTACAATCAGGAAGTCAAGCCAACACCAGTAGTTGGTGAAATATTTCTTGAAGCCATATGCAATCCACTTGAGAAACATCTCCAGCACAAAGATGTAGGAGAAGACTTTGTCAGCGTACTCCAACACCACCTTAATCACTCGTCTCCTCTCGATGTAGATATCTTCAAACGCCTGCAGTGAAAAACACGACACCAGGTCATAACAGCTCAGGTGAGTTTGTCCTTTTGTGCGCGTTTAAAGCTATGAAAAAAGTTAAATAATTACTTCAATAAAATAAAATAAAAACTTGATCATTTTAATTTGACACTTAACTAAAAATAAAAGTGAATTAAAATATTTTGTCTAGAAGATAATTCTGTACTGAAAGTTTCAAAGACACGTTGAAGGTCTTATTGGGGCAAATGTATTTAGTCAGCCACCAGTTTTCCAAGTTCTCTTACTTAAAGAGCAAGTCACCCCCAAATCAATTTTTTTTTGCTGATAAACTAAATAAACGAGTGTCTGATCGTGCTGCAGACACGTGTGGCAAGGTGGAGAAACGAGGGCCCGGGTGGGATTCAATCCCCAGACTCCCGGGTGAGAGTCATACGCTCTAACCAGTCAGCCAAAGGGACATCCCCTTGGCCAAGTAGCCAGGGCGCATGATCAATCAGGACATTGTGACAGGACGCTCACACTGTCACACACGTGTCGTCAATAATTTGGCACTTCAGTGCATCTTAGTTAAAATTTAAATATTCTGCCTTAAACTGTCAGTGTTGCGCCGTTGTCAGGTAAAAACTCTGCACTGTATTTGAATTTAAATCTGCCGCCGCTATTGGCTAAGAGGTATGCCATGATGTAAACTGGTACATTATGATGTCACAATGCCGTTGTGAGCCTGTGTGTGTGTATTTGTTAGTGGCTCCGCCCTCTCGGTCTGCTAGGCAACAGCATTTGTTGCATTTTTCAAACATGAAGAGGGAGTGGAGTAAGTTTCTTGTAGGGGGTGACTTGCTCTTTAAAAAGATGAGAGGTCTGTAATTTTCATCATAAGTAAATCTCAACTATGAGAGACAAAATGAGAAAATCACATTGTCTGATTTTTAATGAATTTATTAGTTAATTATGGTGGAAAATAAGTATTTGGTTTCCTACAAACAAACAATTCTGTAAGAGGCTCCTCTGTCCTCCACTTGTTATCAGCACAATAGATACCTGTCCACAACTTCAAACATTCCCACTCCCAACTCCACTATGGCCAAGAGAGCTGGCAAAGGACACCAGAAACACAGTTGTGGACCTGCACCAGGCTGGGAAGACCGAAACTACAATAGATAAGCAGCTTGGTGTGAAGAAATCAACTGCGGGAGCAATTATTAGAACATGGAAGACATACTAGACCACTGATAATGTCCCTCCATCAGGGGCTCCATGCAAGATCTCACACCTTGGAGTCAAAATGATCATAGGAACAGTGAGCAAAAATCCCAGACCTACAGGGACCTGCAGAGAGCTGGAACCAAAGTTACAAAGGGCTCAATTATGTGGTTGCATACCCCTCATAAAGTAGGTAGCTGTGCCCCGGGCTCACACAAGAGAGAGGATCGGAGGACGCTCCTCCAAACACGCTCTATTATTTTCATAATTTCATTATTGTTTCTCCTGGAAGCGCTCAGTCAGACCGAGTGCTGTGATGTCGGGAGATCCAGTCTTGGGGAGGGAGCGGGGTCAGTGACGGCAGCTGCAGCGTAATCATCTTATTTAGGGACACGGAGAGGTTAAAAGGAGAGAGAAATAAAAGATAGAAGTTCTTGTTCCACTTAATTCTTTTGTTTCATGATGATAAACTAAACTGGGAGGAAGCTTTGGTTCATTTTAAGTTGCAGGAGATCTTGTTTCCTATCTGCTCCTCCAGAGACAGCATGGACATGAGGGTTACATGGTGAGGGTCATACAGGACGGGTTAGTGCAGTCACACAGCCGAGCTGGAGGGGAACAGGTGTTGTCCTTCTTTATATTGCAAGCTTGTGTGTTATGTGCATTTCAGCCAGCGATCCTAACAGCAGCAGCAGCACACTAACACTTTACAAGGGTCCTTTTATTAATGTACTTGGGGGTGACTTGCTCTTTAAGTTAAACTGAGTTCTTCTAATGTCACATTGTCAAGTAGCTTTCTATTTTACGGTAATTCTATTTAGTAAATTACCAAGTTATAAAGTTCCCCAAGACAGCAAAACAGTGTCTAAGCAAGCGCGCATTAATACCACATATTTTGATTGTCATATGACAAGTTCATTAATACCACAGGCTAAATACACAACAGCTGCTGTGCTCACAGACTAGAGCGCTCCGCCTCCGCATTGACGCCATCGACATATACATGGTCGACACAGAAAATGACTTTCAGGGGCCTATCAACTGAGAAGCTCCTTCAAAGGTTGATGGATGAAGGCTGCATTGACGTGTCAGAGGAAGAGGCTCAAAAATTTAGAGGTAAGTGAGGTGTGATTTTTGGTGTTTTAAAAATGACAACGTGTAATTTGACACTAAAGTTAGCAAATGTCCGAAGAGCTATCTTTAGCATGAGTGATTAGCTAGCTGGTAGCTAAGTTTTAAACAAAGGAAGGGTGCTATTTTGTACCATCCCAGATAGCAAACATTTTGGCTTTATTTTGGTTTTATTCTGGCATAAATTCGGCATTTTGGCATCCTTCTGGCACAAAAATGTTCGAAAAAGTGTTTTGGTTTAAATGTGGCATAATTTTGGGTTCCCATTATAGACAATTACGTCAGCGAGTGTTTCCGTTTTAACTGTGGCATGATTATGGTTTGCCTTAATAGAAAATTACGCGGCTGGCGATTATGGCATATTCTGGGTAGCCAGACGAGAGCGGGACAGCGTCTGTGACTTCTGCAGGTGTGCTATGGGGTTACTTTGGCAAGCCATAAAACTCATCAAATGCCGGGAAAAATAGTGATGAAAGACCGGGAATCAGGACTAATTCGACAGAGGTGAGTACCATTTCCTCTTGTTTCCTACCTTTTTGTTTGCTATAGTTTTGTTTTAGGTCTATATTGTTTGTTTTAGCAAAATGTGTATGCTAGGGATGCACCGAATATTTGGCCACCGAAAGACCTGAATCACCGAAACAACACGGCCGAAACATGTCATTGTTTAAAGTTTATTCTGCTTTTATACGTTCCGGGTTCCCAAACTAATGGCTTGGTTTCTGCTAGTAGATAGTGGCTGTACCACTGTTTAGATGATGGTACAGATGCTAACTGTGGCTAACCTACAGCTAACAGAACCAGCGCCTATATACGACCGAGTGGCTTCGCCAAAGTGTCTCACGGCTCGCTGCGGCTGCAGCAGACTGTAACGATACCGGGCGGGCGGTAGAGGGCTGCATCGGGATTGGGTCCCGCTGGACCCAACACAAATCTTGCGGGGGCGGGCAGTGTGAATTTTGCTGCGGGCGGGAACGGTCGGCTAAAAGAAACAGTGCGGGATCTGGATGAGTATGATGGAGTCGGCAACTGATGTTGAAAAGAAGCTGAAACAAGGTCTTGATGACACAAAAACCAAAGCAAGGCAAGTCAGACATTTGGAGTTTCTCTGACTGTGTTAATATTTCTCATTCAGGTCTCTATCAGAAAAACGACCTCGATCACTGCCTGATTACAGAGGAGAATAGAATATGAAACGGCCTTGATTTCATTAACCCTTCAAGCACCACAAAGTAGCTCCTTTATGTTTTTTAAAGAATTTTATAGTTTAAGTAGCGAGGAGTTATTTGAAATCATATGTGCCGAGGCGTCACCGGTGATCCTGGTGACGCATCGGCGTTAAAGGGTTAAAAACTAAATGAAAACAAAGTGCGTCAATCCTGACCAATGTGATAAAAGACGTGCAGGAACCGATCAATTTGTTTTCCCTCATTTACAGTAATGGAGATAACGGCGCAGTGCGTGGCTCTGGTGGTAATCAAGTTAAATTTGATCTCTTTCCAACAATTTTCACAAGAAAACAAAACAGTTAAAAGCAGGGCTTTTGTTGTGTTGACCGGATAGTTCCTGTATTTGACCGTTTATTTTGACGGAGAACGAATAGAAAGAATTACCCTGACGCATGCAGTCGAACTGACGTTTTATTCGTTATCGCAGAAGTAGCTAAATCACCCAAGAAAAGATTCCCATCTGAACATCTGAGCTGGACACTTTACAGAGATCCCTACAAATTTGTCAAAGACTTCTTTGTCAAGGAGAAAAACGGGGGCCTAAAAACACCTATAAAGGAACTTGAGGAGTACATGAGGAAGACCTACTCCGACAATCAAAGGCATGTGCCAGCCAGTATTCCGGAAGATATGCCGCCAATTCAACCACCCAAGCACCAGCTGGAAACAAGGCCTCCTACATGGAGCGAGGTGGAGAGGACAGTAAAGCGGGCAAGAACAGCCTCAGCCCCTGGGCCAAATGGAGTTCCATGTAGGCTCTATAAGAACACGCCAGGCGTCCAAAAGTACCTCTGGAAGCTTATGAAGGTAGCATGGGAGAAAGGAATTATACCAAAGGCATGGCGGCGGGCTGGAGGGATCCTGATTCCCAAAGAGAAGAATTCTTCAACCATCGAGCAGTTCCGCCAGATCAGTCTCTTGAATGTGGAAGGAAAGATATTCTTCAGTGTTGTAGCCCAGAGGCTATCAGTCTTCTTGCAGAAGAACAACTTTGTTGACACCACAGTGCAGAAGGCAGGAATAAGTAGGTTTGCTGGATGCCTGGAACACACAAATGTCATTTGGCACCAGATACAAACAGCCAAGAAGGAGAAGAAAGACCTACATGCGGGTTTTCTAGACCTAGCTAATGCCTTTGGGTCAGTGCTGCATGAGATTTTGTGGACGGCGTTCAATTACTTCCAAGTCCCAGAGGAAATCACAAGGCTGGTCAAAGCCTATTTTCAGGACCTTCAATTCTGCGTGACAGCACAGACTAAAACAACTGCCTGGCAGCACCTCGAGATAGGCATAATGGCGGGCTGCACCATCTCTCCACCGGCGTTTACAATGGCCATGGAGATCATCAAATGAGCATCCAGATGGGTGGTTGGAGGAGAACGATTGAAGAACGGGTTGCGTGGTCCTCCATTCAGGGCGTACATGGACGACATGACGACAATAACAACAACAAAGGCATGCACCAAGCGTTTGTTGTATCAGTAGGTGAGTGATTGAGCTAGGTGGAGGTATGGCCAAGACTCAGCAGGAGTCCAGTGCAGTGCAGCCACTTAGTACGACACAGACAGCCATGCAGCTCTACAGCAAACAGCTGTGGCTGATTCTAAATCGGTGTGGAGCAGAGTTTTAACCTGAAGAAGGACATATAATTACGGTTTTGGGCTGAAATGAAAATTTTTAAGCATGTTGCACAAAACTGCAAAAACAATGATTATACATGTCTACAGCACTATTAGACACTCATCTATACAAGTTATCGGCAAAAAAAGTTGATTTAGGTGTTACTCGCACTTTAAATAGGGGAACTTGCACAATTGGTGGCTGACTAAATACTTTTTTCCCCATTGTATATCATGCAAAATCCACTTTTTGGAGTTTTGACCATGTTATATTCTTATTTCCTCATGAATAAACACCCTAAAGTGGTTTTTGGATTTACGCCAGCATGTTTTCTGTTTCAGCTGCAGCTTCCCTTCAGCTCTGCAAAGCTATTGGGCGGCGGTAGCAGTGGAGTTTAGTGTCCACCCAATAAATGGGAATGTTGCAGGTTCAAGCCCTGCTCAGTCTATCACTATCATTGTGTCCTTGGGCAAGACACTTAACCATCCTTGCGTGCTTGTTGTTGTTCGGATGGACAGGTGGCGCCAGTATACGGCAGCCTCCCTCCCATCAGTGCATCCCAGGTCAGCTGTGACTAGCTCATTACCCTCCGTGGCCTGGATTTTTATGTGGATGAAAACAAACAAAACACTACACAACACTTTCTTTTCTTTGTGAATTAAAAGGATTTAGGATGTGAAGAATGAAACAGCCACAAGCTACAGGCTCTACTGATACCTAGAAGAAGATAACTAGTGTCTAGGGGGGGTTACCAGAGCTCCGCTGCTCAGCAGGATCATGAAGATGATGAACGTCTCAAACCAGCTGTGCTCCACAATCTGATAGCAGGTCTTCCTCAACCTCCACCAGGCCTGGCCCAGACCGTGGCTGGTGTCGATGCTGCAGCACTGACAGTGTCTCAGGCACACTGATAACAACATCAGCATGTAAAACAGAGTGTGAGAAAACATGACTCTAGAAAACACTTCTGATGAAATCACACACTCACATTCAGGAAAGCATTCCTCTGGATCCATACTGTCATCAGCCGTATCTGATAGGTCATCCTCCTCCTCTCCAGGCTTCCTCAGATCCACCGTGCTGCCCTCTGAAAGGCTGATCTTCTCCTGAGATGGAAAAGGTCTGTTATGGCACAAGCCTTCATTTCAGTAACTCAGTACCAGAATTAAACACATATATGTATATTCATTTCAAGTTTATTTATATAGCATCAAATCACAACGAGTCGTCTCAAGGCGCTCCACACAGTGAACGCTCCAATAAAGTTCAGTTCAATAAGCAAATCAGTAAAAAGTTTCCTATATGAGGAACCCAGCAGGTTGCATCGAGTCACTGACTAGTGTCAGTGTCTTTACAGCAATCCTCACACTAAGCAAGCATGCAGCAACAGTGGAAAGGAAAACTCCCTTTTAACAGGAAGAAGCCTCCAGAGGATCCTGTCTCAGTGTAAGCAGCCGCCACGACTCACTGGAGATTGAGAAGGCAGAGCAAACACACTATATATGTATATATATACATATATATATATATATATATATATATATATATATATATATATATATATATATATATATATATATATTTGTCTTAGAATTCTTTAAATGTTCAAATAAAAATGGTGGAATGTCTTCTCCAGGTCAGGGACACCATCCTGCACCAGATGGAGGAGTTTCAGTGTCTCAGGGTTTTGTTCACAACTGAGGGGAAAAATTAAACAAGAGATCAATGGGAGGATTGGTGCTGTGTCTGCAGTGGTGTGAGCGTTGTACCCGTGCACATATACTGAGCCTGGATCCTCTAGAGGTTTTTCATGTTAAAGGGGAGTTTTCCTCACCACTGTCGCTACATGCTTGCTTAGTATGAGGATTGCTGTAAAGGCTCTGACACTAGTCAGTGACTCGATGCAACCTGCTGGGTTCCTTCTATAGGAAACGTTTTACTGATTGGCTTAATGAACTGAACTTTATTGGAATGTTTATTGTGTAAAGCGCCTTGAGATGACTCTTGTTGTGATTTGGCGCTATATAAATAAACAGAATTGAACCGAATTGCCATAGTGAAGAGAGAGCTGAGCCGGAAGGCAAGCTTTCGATTCACCGGTCGATTTACGTTACTACCCTCACCTATGACCATGAGCTTTGGGTAGTGACCGAAAGAATGAGATCGCGGATACAAATAGCTGAAATTAATTTTCTCTGAAGGGTGTCTGGGCTCTCCTTTAGAGATAGTGTGAGAAGCTTAATCATCTGGGAGGGGCTCGGAGTAGATTCACTGCTCCTCCACATTGAGAGAAGCCAGTTGAGTTGGCTTGGGCATCTGGTTGGGATGCCTCCTGGACGCGTTCCTGGTGAGGTTTTCCAGGCACGCCCAACCAGGAGGATTCCCAAGGGAAGACCCAGGACATGATGGAGGGACTATTGGTGCTTACACATTAGGGTCAGTACAGTCAGGTGCGGGACCAGAATTTGGTTTCACACTTGGGTGACTGACTTTTCTGTTCTGAGGTGACTCTTGTTTTTGATAACTCCTCTCCAGAGGTACGACTGGAACTGAGGTGACACTACAGACTGATTGGCTGGCAGAAATTTATGCCTACTGCCTCCAACTGGCAAGTAGAATCAGGCAGTAGGGAGATCCCGCATGCATGGTTCATTTTCATGCTGGATGCTGTTGAGTAAACTTCTCTATCTGGAGCATGGAGCTGCCGCTCAGTGGGAACAGGAAAAGAAAGGGAGCTGTGTGTGTGTAGTCCTGTCCTCAGAACAGCGAACCGCACGGGGCTGTCACCCCAGTGAGCCAGCAGGCAGCTGCTCAGTGGGAGGAGAAAGCAGTGTGTGGCCCACAGCAGCGGAGGACAGAGTTTTATGAGGACACACACAGCAAATTAATAAAAGGACCACTCTGAACCACGTGGTTCAGAGTCTCCAAAAGCAACACAGCTCATGCCCACCTTTGTTTAACTTATTATGCAGGACGCCACAGACATTCCTGGTCATCTTAAACGCCGTCCACTGGCTCTGGGATTTCCGCATTCCTGAGAAGTTCTTCGTAACTACATGTGAACACTACACGGCCTGTAAAAGACCGAACTCACGCTATCCTGCCCAGATCGTGCTGACCCTAATGTGTAAGCACAATGTGTTTCTCAGCTGGCCAAGAAACACCTTTGGATTCCCTTCAAGTAGCTGGCCCAAGTGGCTGGAGAGAGGGAAGTCTGGGCCTCTCTACATAGGCTACCGGCCCCATGACTCAACCCCAGATAAGCGGAGAATATTGAAATATAGATATTGAAATAGATATCTTATCAATCAATCATAGCTTCAATAAAGACCAGGCAACCCAGACGCCAACTACAATGACTGAGAGTGAAGGACCATCAGAAGTCTTTGAAGATGTGAATGTAGCATTGAGAATGATTCCTACGAAACTGAAACCAATGAGGTGATATACACTTGAGTAGTAGTTATTCTTGAGATGCCTAATTTATACTTCTCCATCAGATATACAAGGGAGAGACACACACCCTTTGACAAAGACGTTTTGCTCTTGGACTTCTCCGTCTCCTGGGGAGTGTTGCAAAGCAATTCCCCGCCAGGACAACAGAGGGCGCAGTGTTGTTCTGTGGTATCTTGCCATGTGTCTGGTCCAAGATAGTGTGTTTATATTGTGTTTTTTGTATTTCAGACTTTTTAAACATGGACACATTTGTCTCTCATTCTCCTTCACCTCTTCATGCGCTCGCCACCTCTAAACCCACATTTCTTGTCATTTCCGTTCACGAATAAAATGCTTGCTGCGTATTTTTCCACTCCTCCAGTCACGGGGAATTAAACTTTCATGTTTTTAGAGTTTTTTCGCGAGGTATTCTTCAAGCTGCTCTGTAAACACCTCTAGATATCTTAAGCTCTGTCTATGTTTTTGAGGGCGCAATGACGGCGCTGTTGACGACAGTGGCATCCTGACCAATCACAAGCTTGCAATCTCCGTCTCATTGGACGGATGTTTAGAAAACAGAGCTTGACTCTGTCCGTCCTTGTGAGCCTTCTAGAGAACCCTCGATAAGACGGATAATGGTGTTGCGTGCGTCCGTCCCGACGCAGACGGAAAAGTATGAATTAGGCTTAAGAGCATAGGCATTCATGAGAAACATTACCCACCATGGAACAGAAGGTTGGAAACCAAAATCAAGGAAGCATATAGAGAAGTGATCCAACTATCAAAGCTCCAGAAATGTACAAGAAAAACAGGACCCAAGAACTACAGCCAGATAGATACCCATACCCATACCGGAAGCACTGGAAACTGCCAAACAAAGGTTCCAAGTCTTAGCCAGCCACCTAAAGAGATACACAAGAGAAAGTGAATCCAGACAAATAAACTGGCTCCTCTCAACCCAACCAGATTAAGTGTACTCTCAGTGGCAGGCTAATAACATTAAAGCAGAACCACCAAGGCTAGAGACTGAACAGTACTGGAAGGGCATTTGGGAGAAGGAGGCAATGCAAAGTGGCTACCCTCTCTAAGAGACGACCACAGCAACCTCCCAGTGCAGAAACCAGTATCCATCACTGTGGGAGACATTCAAGAAAGAGTCTCGGGTATGAAAAACTGGACAGCACCGGGGCCTGACATGATCCAAGATTACTAACTTTTAAAGATCAATGAACTCCATGAGTGCCTAGCAGTACAAATGAACCAGCAGCTAAAGGATGGGACTCAACCTGAATGGCTAACTGAATGGTCCACAATTCTGATCCTGAAGAACCCCTCAAAGGGTACAGTCCCACCCAACCATCGGTCAATTACCTTTCTCGCCAAAACATGGAAGCTCATGTTAGGCATCATAGCGACTAAGATAAGTGGGCACATGGATCGATACATGAGCACAGCACAGAAGGGCATCAGTAGAGAGACACCAGAGGAGCCAAACACCAGCTGCTGATAGACTGCCCAAGACTGCAAAAGCAGACACACCAATCTGTGCATGGCCTGGATTGATTACAAGAAAGCCTGTGACACAATGCTGCACTCGTGGATCGTTGAATGCTTGGAGGTGTACAACACCGACAGCAGTCTGAGAGCCTTTATTGCAAACTTATTGGGGCAGTGGAAAACCACCCGTGAGGCCAATTGCAAGCCAGTTGCACAAGTCTCCATCAAACGTAGCATATACCAAGGAGACACACTGTCCCCGCTGCTGTTCTGCATAGGTCTGAAACCCCTCAGCCAAATATTCAACAAGACTGGCTATGGATACTGACTCAAGAATGGAACCACAATCAGCCGCCTCCTCTATTTGGATGACATAAAGATGTACGCCAAGAGCAAGTGAGACATTGATTGACTGATCCACATTACCAGGATCTACAGCACTGACACTGGAATGTGATTCAGACTTGAGAGGTGTGGTCGGATGGTAACAAAGAAAAGGAAAATAGTCCACACAGAAGGGGTTTCTCTCCCAGAAGGAACAATAACAGACATTGGGGACAGCTACAAGTATCCCACAAGCAAATGGCAACCTCGATGAGGCCGCAAGGAAAGGAGCTACAGCCAAATACCTACTATGAGTAAGGCAAGTCCTAAGAAGTCAATTCAATGGAAAGAACAAATCAGAGCAAAAAACTGCTATGCCCTGCTAGTAATCAAATATCCTGCAGGAATAATAAGCTGGCCAAAGGAAGGAATACAGACCACAGATGTTAAGACACAGAAGCTCTTAACCATGCATGGAGGGTTCCATCTCAAATCCAGCACCCTGAGAATGTACAGTAGCTGTAAGGAAGGGGGCCAAGAACTAGTTGGTGTGAGAACCATTGTTCAGGATAAAACAAGATCTATCCCTAACCCTAACCCCAATAGATGACATGCTTAGTGAATGTCCCAGTCAACGGTGAACAGACAAGGAGGCACTGGAAATACCACTGTGGGAGGACAAACCCACGGTCATCGGGGCAGTAACCTCCAAATTGGAGGAGTGGCTAAAGCAGATCCCAGGAAAAGCATCAGACATCTCAGTAAAGAAAAGAGCAGTTCAAGGAACATCTAGGATACTGCGCAGAACGCTCAAGCTCCCCGCAGGCCTCTGGTAGAGGACCCAAGCTTGGAAGGATGAGACCACCCGCAGAGGGTGAGATGGGGATTTTTATGAACAGTATGTTGCAGAAGAAAGGTTTGCATTTAAAAATAATGTAGATTTAATTTGCTTTATCAGGTGTTTTTAGTTGTTGTGACAATACTGACTAGGTGTTTCCAAATGTGCTCCCTCAGAACAGGACATCTATCATTTTCTGTCCTGGTTGAGCCAGAGATGATTTACTCCAGTACAGCCGACTCACCTACATACGCTGCTTTATTTTTTACAGAGCCCTAATACAGTTTTGATGAGATTTTCCCATTTTGTAAAGGCTGCATATTTCACATGATTAATAGGATGATAATGCAGGATCAATCCAATAAAATGGTATCAAGTCTAATCCAGCATTAACCAGCAGACAAGGGACATGAACTACAGTCACCAGCGTTACTGGTCCTATTCTGTGAAGGAAGAGCAGAAACCATGTGTTTAGACAAAAACATTTAATTTGTAACCAAATTTCTAATATTATTGTAAATTGTGTGCATGTGCATCTATGTGTGTTAAGGGCTGTAAACATAAAATGCATCCATGTTTCCCTGTGAGCAGCTGCTGATGGCCAGTTAAGCTGGGGGAGAGTTAAAGGAGGGTGTAGTGATGTAGAGCGCAGACAGCAGGCTGCTCAGCTCAGGCTGGAACTCCTCAGCAATGGTTGCTTAATCTGTTTCACAGAACCTGGCTCCACATCTGGCCTGCTCCTGTCTGTCTGCCAGACATGGCCAGAAGAGGCATAACCTCTACATAAACAAACGTCAGTCCTGCTGACATTCACTCCAAAGCTTTCTAATATCAAAGAGTTTACAGTCAACCAAGTATTAACCGTTCAATGGCTTCAATAACCAGTTAAACACATTTTGGAAAATGTGCATCCCTAATATTGAAACGATATAGAAAACAGAATTAAAACAGAAGATATCCTATAAAGACCCTAACCCTAAAAACACCACATTTTTACACAGCGATCCTACCCAGCATTAATTACAATTTATAACAAATGGTTATCCTAACAGTAATAAAAACACAAAATCCCAACTGTGAAAAAAAAAAAATGAAAAATGTATTACAAAACTAATCCTAACAGTAATAACAATGCAGAAAGTCAAAGGAGCCATATCATGGAAAATCCACTTTTTACCAAGTGATACAGTCATTTGCTCATGAAAAATAACCCAAACCTGTTTTTGGCTACATTCATGCATTTTATTGTATCAGCTGCAAGTTTTCAGATTCTGAGCTGACAGTTAGTGCATCATCAGGCCCTGCTCCTGCAGGCATGGACAGGTTAATTTCATGCTGCTGAGAATATGCCCTTTATGTTACAGATGATTGCTTCAAACCTCCACCGGTAGCAGAGTGGATATTCTGCCAAATTACTCCTGCATTAGGAACAAAACCCCTCCGTAAACACCATGCGTCCTGTCTACAAAGATGCTTGTGATGGCCAGCACAGGACATGCATGTTTGGCGACTGTTGTTTTGTAACAGACCAGTGATGTGCGGTCAGAAGAGGCAGGGGAGGCACTGCCTCCCTTGTCATCATGACAAATAAAATACTGATAATGATTTAATATAAAGTCAATGTGTCCATCACTGCTCTATATATAAGTCTGCTGTATGATTTCATCATGTTTATGGTTAAATTCACTGAATTTGACGGTTTCCCGATTAAATATGCATGCAAAAGTAGGATGGGAGAGAGAAATGAGCCTGTCACCCCTCTCCCTGAGCTGCCCTGCACAAACTAACTGATTCAGGCAGAGCAGATGCGCCAACTCTCAGAGTTGCCTCTGTTCTTACAGAGCAGCGTCACACACACTCACTGAAACAGGAAGTCGGTGCATACTCACTGCTGTCTGTCTTTAGATCACCAACATACATGTTTTATTGCACATGTTTATTTTTATGTTCATGTATTTAGCAGACGCTTTTGTTCAAAGTGATTTGCAAGTGACAATGAAGCCAGCAGGTTGCCCTCGAGGCTAACAACAAACATCATTCAGTCAGTCCTAGGTTGCAGTGAGGCAGCATGATGAATCAGAGGGAAGTGAACATGGAGTGGACAGTAGAGTGAGGGGATGGGTGCAGGGAGGGTGCTAGTTTAGAAGATGCTCTCTGAAGAACAGGGTCTTCAGGAGTTTCTTGAAAATCAACAAGGAAGCCCCTGTTCTAGTAGTGCTTGGTAGGTCATTCCACATCTGTGGAACGACACATGAAAAGAGTCTGGATTGTCCTGAGTGTGGTGTAGGCACTGCTAGCTGACGATACTTTGATGACCGAAGTCAAATTTGCCCTAATATTAAATAATATTTTACTTTCGTTGCTAGTGGTTTGTTGAATAAATTAAAATTGATTAAATTAAAACCAAGAAAATTTCATTAAAGGTAAAACATAAAATAAAAGGTTTTCATTTCGGGGTCATACATTTGTAAGTCTGACTCCAGAGCACCCAGTGCATCATGAACCTCACCGCAAAAAACAAACAAAAACAAAATAAGAAACCATCATCCCTGCTCAATGGTCAAATTTCCTTGTGGGGTCACACCCATTAGGACAGTGGGAGGGTTAAACGGAAAACTTAAATCAGCTTTTATGAGGGTTAGTTTCCATTGGAGGTCACCATCTGTAATTCCTAAACAAAGTTAATCCTTCCAACATTCAACACTGTTATATGTTTGTCTTGAAAGTATGATGTGATAGAATGGATTTTAGTTCCAGTTTTTCAAAACTTACATAATGTTATAGATAAAAAGAACCTACTGGTTTGTTGTCTTCATCCTCTGAGGACTCTGAATTCTCCTCTTCCTCTAGAAACTCCACATCTGACTCCCCCGGTGCAATGGGAACAATCACGGTGAGGTTTGGGTTGGTCATGTAGCTGTCCCCTTCTGGTATAATAGACTTCTCTCCATAATTAGAAAATATTCCTCCATTACTTTCCGCGTGATTTCCAGCCAACCCGATTGCCTGGTTGGCTTCTTTAGCTTTATGTTTGCGACCTCTCACATCGCGATGGAAGAGGCTGACTACACTCCTGATGAGCCAGGTAATGCCACTGTGCATGCGGGCGATGGCGATCTGGATATTATTCAAATCTCCGTCCTCATCCGGAGCAGAGAGGTTGTCAGAGCTGAAGGAACTGAGCAGCAGGGCAAGGAAAAGGTTCAGCACCTGAGGACAAATAATTTGATAAATATTAAACATTTTTATATCAAATCATATATACACATATATAAATGTGTGTGTTTGTGTGTGCGTGCATGCATTTTTAAGTATGTAGGTTTATGTCTTGCTTTTGGTGAACCCTAGGCTTTAGATTTGAGGACAAGTGAACATAGTGCCAGACAGGACAGGATGCTCCATATATTCTGTCAGCACTGGCAAATCCTGCCCTGTAATTCAGGAGGATATTCTACAAAGAAATTCTTGCACACATATGGATCCAGCAGCTCCAGCCACCCTGAAGTCAAAGTTCAAGCCCTCAAAGTAATCTGCCCGCTAGCTTAGCGAGTGGCATATCATCTGCATACGTGTGCGCTTACACTTCCTGAGTGCATGTAAGTTGTGTTAGTGATTTTTAGCCACTGAGCAGTTCAGAGACAAGGAGAAAAGGAAATGATGAAGTGTTAAATTCCTTCTGACTTTCTCATAAGCATCATGGACAATCCTCCAACATAAACGGCTGCTCCTTGATTAACGGATTAACATACACAGACCATTTATGTGTCATATTCTGCAGTTTATGTAAACAACAGAATCACATCTAATTTGGAGCTGCATAAGATTTAGTTTAGATACAGTTTGATTTTATTTCTGAGGTAAAAAGTCAGCATTTTCACCTACCCATAGGACCAGTAATAATGAACCTGGGACCTTCAGTAAGTTTTAGCTACTTCTTGTCGTCGGAGTTCAAGTTACTCTAGATTGGCTGATTATTCATTTAGCCACAAGATGTTCAATGTTTTAAACAAATACCAATATTTTTAATTTATTGTGTATTTATAAATCTTGTTGTGCTAATTATGTAGTTTGTTAGTGTTTTGACAGAAGTAGGTGGACAGAAAAACAAGGCCTGTTCTTTTTTTTACACCATTTAATGTAAAAAAATTTGTCAGGTAGATCCGTTTTTCTAAAAAATGCCTTGATACAGCAGAAATGTCTGCCTTCAAAAATAAGCTAATTTTAACACTTAAAGTGACAGTGTGTATTTTTCCTGGCGATAGGGGGCAGTAGATACCTACATCGTTGCGAGCAAGCAGTATTTTTGTGTTGGAGTAAGACCTTACCAACTGATGCCCATTAGGGTCAAAAAGCCCTGGGAAGTGCAAACTTGAGCAAAATAAGCACATCAGACCCCCTTTCATCACTGGCAACAAGTGAAGAGGTAAATGTGTAAAACAATATTTAAGAATGACGAAAGTTTTGTAACCGTTACAAATCAGTAAATGCATTTTGTCCTCATGGGCTCCCATAAAAGGAAACATGGCCTTTAACATGGTGTCTCCCAGAGACTTAGACCCATGTGTTTGAGACCAGATTTTTGAGTTTATAGGTTACAAAGCTGCCAATATTTTTCAACAACTGGGCATCATTTCGTTCATTTTCGATAACATATTGATGGATATTTCTGGAAATTAATGGTAAAAATTACACATTGTCATTTTAATTGGAGTACTACACAAAAGATGTCCACGTTGTCAGAACTGGGACACTGTATCAGACGAAAGGTTAACTTGACATGGATCAGAATACACTCATATGAGCATTTAATAGATTTATTTACCAATGTATGCTCACAAAAGGAACCAGCATTTATTTCTTAAAATGCAATTTTGCATTTAACACTGCAGTATTTTAGATTTTAATAGTATAGTTAAGGTCTAAAATAGAAAAGGTTTTATGGTTGCTGGCATGCAGATACAATTCTGAGAATAGGATTAAATGAGAGAAAAACAGTTAACGCCAAAGTAGCGGAAGGCATGGTGATAACAGGTGTTTGAACAACATCCAGGAAGTGCCCCCCCCCCCCCCCCCCCCACACACACACATACACACACACACAAAGCTAGCAGAACCTGATAGTAGCACATGAACAGCTTATTTGCAGACATATTTCCTGGTAAATTTGTCAAGTTAAGGATATTAAACCTAAATTGTGTTTAATAAAACAGCTGATTATGTGGGTGGAAGAATGAATGAATCGTTTCAGTGGAACTGAGCGACAGCAGCTACAGACTGTCCAACTGATTAACCCTTTATTAACAGAAACAGCTGCATGCAACGTAACGCTTGGAAGGACAGGAAGAACACTGTGGCTTTAGCTAATCCTTATCTGTACAGTACTTAGATCACAATTTTCCCCAGAGCTTTATTCATCAGTGGTGGATAAAACATTCATCAGATTTATAAATTATATATTTGAAAATAAAAACATGTTTGATTAAAGAAGATCAGGTGTTATTTCTTTAATTCTAGTTCTAATCTCTGTTCTAAATGCGACATTAACAATCCTCATGGCTGCAACGGGATCCCATGTTTACATGTGACATCATCATTTGGATTTGACATCATTAGAGCTGGTTGTGTTGATGTCTCTGGTTATTAAACTAGAGGTAACGGAGGCTCAAGGGTTAGGATTTCGCCCTGTAATTGGTGGGTTGCAGGTTCAAACCCACGCTGAACTCTGTTAGTCTTTATGTCCTTGGGCAAGACACTTCAGTCAGTGGAACTGGTGGTGCCTGCGCCTCGCCTCCGTGAGTGTGACCTAGGCCAACTGTGGCTACAGTGTAGCTCATCACCATCAGTGTGGGAATGTGTGTGTGTGTGTGTGTGTGTGTGTGTGTGTGTGTGTGTGTGTGTGTGTGTGTGTGTGTGTGTGTGTGTGTGTGTGTGTGTGTGTGTGTGTGTGTGTGTGAGAGGAGAATATATGTATGTGAGAGTGACCAAATGAATTATGGTTTACACGACCCCTCATTGGTAAGTGAGATCTTGCAGAGACAGTGATCAAATAAAATTACTATACATACTATACACTACTTTACAAATACAATTACTATACATACTATACACTACTATGACGGACGCTGAGCCGATCTGTCGTGGGGAAGAGGGAGCTGAGCCAGAAAGCCAGGCTCTCGATTTACCGGTCGATCTACGTCCCAATCCTCACCTATGGTCATGAGCTTTGGGTAATGACCGAAAGAACGAGATCGCGGATACAAGCGGCCGAAATGAGTTTCCTCCGTAGGGTGGCCGGGCTCAGCCTTAGAGATAGGGTGAGGAGCTCGGACATTCGGGAGGGACTCGGAGTAGAACCGCTGCTCCTCCGGATCGAAAGGAGCCAGTTGAGGTGGTTTGGGCATCTGGTCAGGATGCCTCCTGGACGCCTCCCCGGGGAGGTGTTTCGGGCATGTCCTGCCGGCAGAAGGCCCCCGGGTCGACCCAGGACACGTTGGAGAGGTTACATCTCCAATCTGGTCCGGGAACGCCTTGGGGTCCTGCCGGAGGAGCTAGTGGACAAGGCCGGGGAGAGGACGGCCTGGAGCTCCCTAGTTGGGATGCTGCCCCCGCGACCCGGACCCGGATAAGCGGAGGAAGACGACGACGACTATACACTACTTTACAAGTAAAAGTACTCCAAATCAGTGATCAAATCAATATATGTGTTGTCTGATTTGGAGTAACTTTATTTACAAATGTTTACAAGCTAAGAGGGGTTGAGGACCAACAGAACTTTAAGACAAAGAGGAAATTATCTCTGTCTGACCTCCAAAACAAGTTCTTATCTTAATCTGGTGCCCTTGAGCCTGTGAGGCAGAAGTGAATACTCCCCCTCAGAAGAAATGTGGAATGCTGCCGTCGCCATGGCAACTCTGTCTCCCTATCCCAGCCTGGGTGGGACTGCGACCGAAGGCCGTTGAATCGTTCCAGGAGTCACTGTGCTCTCTAAAACCCAACTATCTCCTCCCCCTGTCCAAACAGAGGTGAAGAGCGCTGCTCATTGCGGCTGCATGCACTGATGTGAGGAGAGTCCCCAACCTTACCTCCCCACCTAGTGGACACTTATGTTGTGTGATGTCTGAAGTCTGTTGCATTTCTGTCTGAGGTGTTTTTTTGCATAGAAAAGCTGCCCTCCCTGTGGAGGGTAACACTGAAGTGTCTTTTTTTCCTCCACCTGACTAAATCCTCATATAAACCCTATGATCTCTGTTAAGGTAGCGCGACTCGGGTTGCGAATGACCACAGTCACCAATTCTTGTCATGTGTCTATATGTATGTATGTCTGATCTCAGAATTGTGTGAACTGAAACTCTAATTTCCCTCTGGGATTAATAAAGTATCTCTGAGTTGAGTTGAATTGAATGTAAGGTACCATTTGCAAACAAATATGGGGTGTGAAATACCTAAGCAAAGTGTGTGCAAATTGTTGCCTCAATTTAATTGGGTGCTTTCTTTGGGTTGCTTTTTATAGCAAAAAATTAAAATTGTAAGTGCATAAATCTGAAAAAGAGCATCTAAAGCAGCAGTGCTGGGTATGTAACACTAGCTAATGCTAAAGTGTGGATATAACTGGTTTGTAGTGTTTAGTTTTGAGACAAGTGAAGGCCAGCAGACATTTAGATTACTGGTGTTGAATCATGTTGTGTGTAGAACCCACCACTAGGTTTCCTATGACCATGACCAGCATGAACACCAGGATACAGAGCGGCTGCCCGGCCACTTCCATACAGTCCCACATGGTCTCGATCCACTCGCCGCACAACACCCTGAACACGATCAGGAAGGAGTGGAAGAAGTCTTTCATGTGCCAGCGAGGCAGCTGGCAGTCAAAGGAGATTTTACACACACAGTCCTGGTAGTTCTTCCCAAACAGCTGCATTCCCACCACAGCAAAGATGAAGACAATGATGGCCAACACCAGGGTCAGGTTCCCCAGTGCGCCCACAGAGTTACCAATGATCTTGATCAGGGTGTTGAGGGTGGGCCAAGACTTCGCCAGCTTAAAGACTCTTAACTGGACAGGGAGAAGAAGGTCAATAAATCAAGTTCATAATACAAGTTAAACAATGTAAAATAATCAGTTAAAGAGTTCAAGATTATTGGTACCAGTCTGAAAGATCTCAGGACAGAAAGTCCCTCTACATTGGACAGACCCAGTTCCATCAGACTGAGGCAGACAATGATGCCGTCAAAGATGTTCCAGCCCTGCTGGAAGTAGTAATAAGGATCCAAGGCAATCAGCTTAAACACCATCTCAGCGGTGAAGATCCCTGTGAACACCTGAGGAAAACACACAGAGAAAAGATGCAGCGAGGAACAAACATTACTCATTAAAAACCCTAAATCCAACTGGACAAGTAATGCTTTGGTTTTAACTTTGCATTTATTAAAGTGGATGTGCAGCGTGGTGAAAGTGAAGGATGACAGAGCTGAGGAGTGTTTGTTGTAATGATCAACACAGCTGGTGCTGTCCTGGGTGTATTTATTTTTGTTTAACAAACTAAATAGTTCAGCCATTTCCCTGCAAATAGTCAATGTTGTGTGGACGCGCAGATCATGTCTATGTTGAGTCAGTCGGTCCAGACCACATCTGAAGGATGTCCAAACTCGGTTTTTGCACAGTGTCAAAGGCACATGTTCTCGTGGTTATAACATAATGATGCATGGTATCATACACCATATATCATTTTATTTTAACAACTGATAGGCAATCAACCTGATGTGGTCACTTAATTAAGTTTGGTTTACTCCTTGAAAAACATTGAAATACGCTACAAAAGCCATGTGAAATGTTTTATTTTGAGGTACTTCAATCATGGATGTCATTTTCACTTAAGAAGTGGAGGGGACACGGGGGGGGGGGGGGGGGGGGGGTATCTTTACAGAATGCTCCAATGGGAAACAGACTTCAACACAAACGGTTGTTTTCTGCTTGGTCAACCAGTGTCAATTTAATATAGCGTAATATTGTTGGTGGATGGTAAAAAGTGCAGGGGTCAAAACTTGACTTTGTAAAAAGTGGTGGGGGGGGGGGGGTGATTTCAATGACTCATTAGTTTACTGTTAGAATGTGGAACAAAAACAAAGATTTAATGGAAAAAAAAGTATTCTTAAAACCAACATTTTATCTATCATCTGATGGAATAATCATATTTCATTTATTGTTGCTATTGAGATGTTAAATGTGTATATATATATATATATATATATATATATATATATATATATATATATATATATATATTTTTTTATCATGAAGAAGGAGTAAAGGAAGTGAAAACTAGTGGGTACGCAAATGAAATTATACAAAACACATATAAAATACTGTTCATTTGTTTTAATTAAAGGCTTTAAGATATGAACTTAATTAGTTAAAATCACCCGACGTGGAAGGTTAAAGTAATAAGAACAAACTAGCTCTTAAATATTTCCCACCAAGAAATAAAAACCAGGCCTAAAACACAACCTGTGACACGGCCTCATCGTCGCAGCTATAAAACACACGATGATGACCCCAAACCGTTTTATCTGCTCATGTATCACCTGACAGCACTCTGGAGGAGGTGTGTTAATGTAGAAATGTTCCAGCTCCTATCATTTAAAAGGCCTCTCACCAGATTGCCCACTGACAGCATGGTGTTGAACTCATCGGTCATGGGGTAATGCTCCAGAGCCATGAAGAGGGTGTTCAGCACTATACAGATGGTGATGCCAAGATCCAGAAAGGGATCCATGACCATGAATTTCACATATTCCTTCAGCTTCAGCCACCAGGGGCAGCCGTCCCAGATCAAATACTTCTTGGCAAACGAGTACCAGCAAGGATGACACTTCTGCCTGGATTCTTCCAGCTCTGTGAGGAGAAACCAACGTTTACTCTTTCTTAGTGTCACACAGTGGAAAAGTTTGGATTTAGTTTAAGTAGCATGATTTGTGTTTTATTGTTGACATGCTTATGTTGTGTTTTGAATGGTTTTTCCCTTTGTGGTACCTCCCAGAGACACTAATTAGAACAAATGGGAATGGGTGTGGAATGCCCACAGGTGCAATGGACTCAAAACGAGGTATAAAAGGAACTGAGGAAAGAGTCCAGGAGAGCAGCAGACACCAGAGACATGCATGAGGTCTGGTAGTCACCTGGACGGTGACGTCTCGGGCAAGGACACGAACGCCCGACCACCCTGGAATGCAGTCGGCACCTGGAGCACCATCCCAGGATGTGGACAAGCGACCAAGTGTGGAGGATTGTGGGTTGCCCTTTCCTCCCCCATGTGAGTGGTGCAATTTTGGTGCTGGTGCCTCTGCGTCTTGTTAGGGCCTTGGGCCGAGGAGGGCGTGACGTGTCCAAGGAGCGGAGCTGTGCCAGGGGGCTGCAGAGAGACTGGCGTGTGTGCAGCAGCCAGCGGGTGAGGGGACGATGCTGGAGCCATGGCAGCAGCACACAGACAGGTTGCTGCAGGAGGTCGACTTTGTGCCTGACAGCCAAAGGACAAGGTGGGGCAGACTGGGTCCCAGCTACGTGGGTCAGCTGGAGCCAAGAGGTGGCTCCTTGTACTGGACACCGTCCCGCCCCTGGTGCTGCACAGGATGGTTTAGACTGTTTTTAGGACTGCTTTTGTGTTTTTACTCCTTCAGCCTCTAAAGACTTTGAACTTTTGGCGTTGTTTTTGCTCCTCCAAATGGTCTGTTTTAGAGTTAAGTGGTTCCCCTGCCTGTTCTTTGGACCATGAGTCGCTTGTTTTCCCCTTTGTATCTGGAACCTGCAGCCGTGGACGGGCTGCTGCAGGGTGACATTAGCTGAAGTAAAATAATATGTGACATTCTCTCCCTGCCTTTTTTTTTTAATCAAATATAGTTTAAAAAATGGGATTTTTTAGTAGTTTGGTTATTTGAAACTCAAAATGTTTAAGCAAATTTTTATTTTTACACTAAAGTTTTGCTAAAACCTGCAGGTTAGTACATTTTATCATTTAAATGATAAATGACCCGCACTTGTCAAGAGTAAGGACTCCAAAGCGCTTTACACTACAGTGTATCATCCATTCACACACTGATGGTGATGAGCTACGATGTAGCCACAGCTGCCCTGGTGCTCACTGACAGAGGGGACCAAGATCACAGAGAAACCGTTTTTGCTTGTTTGAAGTGTGATTGGATGCTCGGAGTTTAGCATGCAAGCTAAATGTGAATCTACCCCTTAGAATTAGCTGCATTAGCTTCTGATAATAGAGGGGGAAATGCTTGGATTAGAAAGCCTGACAGATCTGCACTAAAAATTAGCATTCATGGACTCACCCATCTTGGCTCAAGACGGGGAAAGCTGTTGGTGATTTAGCATCCAGCAGAGAGCAGGGAACGTGTTGCTTAGTAGAAGCTAATCGTTAGCATAACAACTTCACAACATGGCAGAACTCCTTCAGGCTTGTTATTTGTGGAGATAAAATGTTAACGTTGCAGAGCTAACAGAGTCAGTGGTAGAGTGGTGTTGCTGTTATCCAATCAGAGACGAGATGTCCAAATATCAGGAAATAAGACTCTAAAACCTGTCTGATGCTCACCTCTCATCTGATGCACTTCTACCTCCTGAAACAGGAGCGCCAGAGTTTTTTCCCAACAGAGATAGATTCACAAGGCTTAGAGACCATTGTACGGGGTGAAAAAAATCAGGGAACTTTGTCTTTAATAGTTTGGTTATAAAAACTTGCATGTCCTAAATCAAATCTAAACTATTTTGTTGCCATAATCTGCCGATGGTTACTGGAGAATTGTTCTAAAAAAATGTGTGTAAGAAACATTTTTCTTTTTAGATGTGAAGTGATCGATTAACTGTTTTAGTTTGGAAATGGACGCACCCTCCATGGCATCACTAAGGAAGCTGACAGAGCTGTGGGCCCGTTTCCTGCGCACTGAAGTGGGCCTGGTGACCGTGGGGGACGGCTGCAGGAGAACTCTGGGAGTTGTGTCTCCTGTTTCACTGGGTTTCTGGGAAATAAAAGCAAAAACATGTTTTTTTATTTATTTGGTAAATTAATGACGTACATAAATGTGATACTTTTCCTGTCATGTTATCAGACAGTCCTCCATCACTCACTGGGTCCCCCCTGACTCTCTCCATGCCGTGAGCCGGTATGGACGATGGGGTGAGGAGTCCCATAGTGGCGCCTCCGTTCTGGTCTAGAGAGATGTTCAGTCGGCCGTTGACATTAAGGATGGGCGTTAAAACCTGAGAGCAGTGGCTTCTAACACTGCCCGTTCTCTTCTTCCAGGGTGTTGCAGTAGAACTGGTGCGACTCCTGAAGACGTCCCCGTGGACGCTGTACTCATCATCCCCAAACTCCGCTTCTGAGTTGATTCGAGTACGGAATGAGCTGAAGATGCTGTTCTGGCTTCCTCTCCTGGTGCTAAGAGGGTGAGAGGAGAGCGTGGCAAGCAGAGGGTGGGGTGGCAGAGGGGACAGAGGGGGCTACAGGGACGCACAGGTGATGCATCAGCTAGGACAGCTAAAACCATCTAGACTGTGTTTGATGTGAGCTGTAACACACCACAACTTCATCCACAGGATCCAGCATCTCCTCCACATCTTCCACTGCAGTCTCCTCAGAAAGAGTCCGATGGGACCGTCTTCTCCTGCTGCTGCTGCGCCGTATACTTCCTGTCTTCAGACAGAAGGGGGACAACTCTGGGGACAGAACTGAATCTGTCTCCTGTGCTTGTCTTTTAGCTGCCAACTTCAAAAAGAAAGAAATTAAATCACAAAAGATAAGGATTAAGTATGGTCCACCTTAAGCTGAAGACCCTGCGCCTACTCTTTGCTCTCGTCTGAGATGCTCCATGGCCAGCTGGAACTCCCTCTCTTTCTGCCAGGCCTCAGCGATGGTTGCCTGATTCTGCTCCTCATAGGCCATGGCCACCACTGCCAGGATCAGGTTGACCAGGTAGAAGGAGCCGAGGAAGATCACCAGCACAAAAAAAACCATGTAGGTCTTCCCAGCAGAGCGCAGAGTCTGAGAAGATCATCAGTGATGTTGAATCAAAAACCCGGGTTTGGGTAGTTCGTAATGTTTAGGACAAACAGTGTTGGGGAGTAACTGAATAATACTAATGATGAGTAACTGTATTCAGTTACAGTTACTATTTTAAACATGGTATTTAGAATACAGTTACTTTCATAATACCATTGGAATACTTGTGTGTTTTCCACTTTCCAAATGAAGGACGAATAAATACGTTTCCCTGCGGTACCGACACACATTGGGACATTTAATAGACTTAAATGTTGATTTTAAAAGGAAGTATTCCAAGTATTTCGAATACAGTATCAGGATTAAGCAAAGTAATGTGTTTTAAAGTAGTATTCTGTAACTAAATACATTTACAAAGTATGCTCCCCAACACTGAGAACAGACAACATAAAAACGTAATCAGAACCAATTCCTGCAACGTTTGGGTTCGTTTTCTATTTGGATTCAGTTACTTTTTCTGTCAGGAGTTACTGCACGTGTCATTCCCATCAAACAGAGGAAAAAGTAATTTATCAATGTAAATACAACTACACACAAAAGACTCATTATTAATGTTCCTCTAAATATGTGATAGCCCTCAGTGGCTGCTCTGAAGTTCTCCCTGTACAACAGAAAGTGCACCTGGTGAAATAGCTCCTCCCAGTAGTCTTGGGTCATAAGTCGAAAAAGTGCCAGAAACGCCCAACCAAAGGTGTCAAAACTTGTGTAGTCATAGTTTGGGTTTCTTCCTACTTTTAGGCAGTCAAACCCCTCAGGACACTTCCTGTAACGCACACGTAAACGAGAAGACAAAGACAGATTATTAGAGAAGTTAAGTGATTAAAAGGTGAAAACACTCCAATCAAGACGAGGCAGGACTGTTAGCATGCGCACCGCTAAACTAAAGGTACCAGCTCCCTACATGTTCTCTTCCTGCCTTTTGAATGCACAGCAAAGGTAGAGATAACAGTAAGTGTGTGCAGTGCTTTTACCAGTTTATCAACTGAAGAGGGCACTTGAACCACGTTTCATCCAGAGGCACTAAAATGCACCACAGTAAAGGGATTACACTGAGCCAGATGGATATCAAATTGCAATTGAAACATTTTCAGCTGAATGCCTCCGTCCCTGAGCTTCATTGTCAGTGCAGCGGCGCTACTGCAAATATTTAAGTCCAGCAGCTGAGCACAAGCTGGGCTGCCATGTCACTGTCAGTGTGGAATAATTTCATAATGGCTGACAAACATCTGGGTGGCAGAGCGCTGCTGTGAGAACAGCTGTAGAGCTCACCGGACAGCTAAGCAGAAAGTCTGTCTGATATCCAGGACAGGGCCGTAAAAACGCCTTCCTGTCAGGAGAAGATCTGTTCTCCTCTTCACTCAGAGGCTAAACACAGAACCTGCGGCTCCTCTGGGGGTTTGAACAGCGAAGGCTCGGTGTTTCTCCTAATTTCATTTAGATCATTTATACTGCCATGATTATCTGTTTCAAGAAACCTTAAAAAAATAACAAATATACACCTCAGTTCAAAATCTTAAAGCTGGGGAGCCTGGTTTAAATATTTTAAGCAGCTTACAAATGCTTAGATGTGACTATCTGACCCTATTCTATGATATAAAGTAAATAATCATTCATAATTCACATTCCCTCTAAATCCCTCCCCTGGCCTCTACAGCAAAACACATAATTAAAGTTAATATTTTGCCCATCTCCATTAGGCAGGCGTCATCTGTTGCCATTTAAAAAAAAACAGAGGTGTGACCAAGTCGCAAGTGAGTCACAAGTCTTTCCAGTCAAGTGTCGAGTCAAGTCCAAGTCAAAGACTACCAAGTCCAAGTCGAGTCCAAAGTCAATGTTGTGGAAGTCCAAGTCAAGTCCAAGTCCTTAACTTTAATATTTCAAGTCATAATCAAGTCATCTGTCCAACTTCCATTTAATGACAATGATGATAAATAAATTCCAGAAATAAAGCTTCGTTTATTTACTCAAACAAGCAGGAAGTTCAACCAAAACTGATTATCAACAAAGTGCTGCTGCGTTCAGCCGTACGAGATCAAACCCAGAACGAAGAATGATTTGTGACTTTTGTCCATATCCTGCCACTTTTGTGCTAAAATATCAAATATGTTCAAGTCATCATCAACTCAACAGATGCAAGTCAATTCAAGTCGCAAGTCATTGGCATTCAAGTCCGAGACAAGTCGTAAGTCTTTTAGATTTTATCAAGTCAAGTCAGAAGTCATTAAAATAATGACTCGAGCCTGACTCGAATCCAAGTCATGTGACTCCAAGTCATGTGACTCGAGTCCACACCTCTGTGAAAAACTGTTGAAGACTTATTTATACTTCACAGTTTTTATTACTCCTAGTTGACTCGATTTTTAATGCATTGTTTTTTTGTGTTTTCTTATGTTTTTAATTGACTATTTTAATTTTGTTGTTTTTATCCAGTATGTCTATGTTCAGCACTTTGGGCAGCATCGTTGCATTTAAAGTGCTGTACAAATTTATTTGATTTAATCTGATTTGATCATTTACATGAGCCTAGAGCGTTGGCAAATAAAGTTATGTATCCACAAGAGGGAGCTGTCAATCAATGAGAATGCACCCCCAGTTCCCAGCATGCACTAACCGTGTGACGCCGGAAGAAGCCAGATGTTTGTAACAGAGCAACTGTAACAAGAACCGAGGTTACAGAGTCTTGACTGCCTTCTACATCTAAAGAAAAATGCAAGCAGTTTAAAAGTCATTCTGCGAAACTCACCGTGAGACAATTATGGCAATCGAGTAGAGTTTACATTATGCCGGGATCACACTGTGATTTCAGTGAGGCAGACTGCACGACGTCTCGCTCCAGCAGGACATGCTACGTCATGAGCTCACCTACCGAAAGCATACGTCACTAAGCAGACCACTAACCAGAACAAAGCTGAAAAAAGAACTGTCGTTAGCACTTCCTAGCTCATTTTCCTCAAAAGGGAGGCATCGAATTTAAAACCCTCGCTTTGGTGTCAGACGTCGGCTGTGGGTATCCATGTCTTCCGGCTAAACAGCTGAGCTGTCTGCTGGACATTCATCCTTCTCATCCTCTATACATGAACACCCACTAAACTACAGAGAAAGTAGCATTGTATCTGCCACAGATCGCTCCAATATCTAAAGTTAACTGTAAATTCTGTCTCACTGGGTTGTGCTCGCGCGCCCCCCCCCCCCCCCCCCCCCCCCCCCCACACACACACACACACTCTCACAGATCACAGAATCACGGTTTTCACAATTCACAAAAATGTTAAGGGCATTTTGAAAACTCCCTCGCACATGTTGTTCCCAACTAGTAGTTTAGGCAGCTGAGATGCTGGCTTAAAGAGCAAGTCACCTCCAAATCAACTTTTTCTTTCTGATAAACTATATAAATGTGTGTCTAATCGTGCTGCAGACACGTGTAATCAATAGTTTTGCACTTTAGTGCATTTTAGTTAAAATTTAAAATTTCAGCCTTAAACTGTCAGTGTTGTGCCGTTGTCAGGTAAAAACTCGACACTGCAGTTGAATTTAAATCCGCCATCGCTGATGGCTAAGAGGTACCCTAGAATGTTAGCTGGTACACTATGATGTCACAATGTCGTTGTGAGCCTGTGTGTGTGTGTGTGTGTGTGTTTATTAGCGGCTCCGCCCTCTCGGCCTGCTAGGCAACAGCATTTGTTGCATTTTTCAAACAGGAAGTGGGAGTGGAGTAATACTCTGGTAGGGGGTGACTTGCTCTTTAAGGAAAGACACGACAGAGAGTCGCTGCAAAGCCTTTAGAAAGCATCATTTAAAAGCAAACTCAAGGGCATGAATCAGTAACTTCCTGGAAAATTACAATCTGAGCATTAAAAATAAAGAATAAAAGATTTATAGGTTTGCGTGTCACCCTTACCAACAACAGCAACACACTGTAAGGGCTTTGTGAAAGCTCTGAGCTGCATTTTCACTTTGTCATATGTTTTATCTTTGAAGACAGCATCCATTTCCTGTCGCTTCTATCCACAGCAGCAGAGCAACATCTGTGCTTTTCCCTCAGTGAGGCTAAAAGTGGCGCGTTTCCATGTGAACAAGGGCAAAAGTTGAAAGCATCTATACAATCAGTCAATAATCCGCAATGCACATTGGCTCTAAGACGTGAGAAGATCAGCATTAGCCTGAACCCTACAGTAAGGGTGACAAAAAACAGCCGGAGCAAATCATTTATTGCTAACTTGTTGACCAGGCTGGAAATAGTTGAATTTGCATGAATGTTTGTTTTTGTGTGTGTGTGTGTGTGTGTGTGTGTGTGTGTGTGTGTGTGTGTGTGTGTGTGTGTGTGTGTGTGTGTGTGTGTGTGTGTGTGTGTGTGTGTGTGTGTGTCATCATAACGTATCCAAAGCTTTAATTTGGAAATCTACTCAGGGATTACTTGTTGGAATACACTCAAAAGATTAAGCATCCTCTGTGTTTTACGTCCTCCATCCTGACCAGCTTAGTATCTTGCCCATCTCCACAGCCAGCCTCAGAAAGTTGCATCAAAAATGTCACAGAAGTTAAAAGGCTGCCTCAATCATTTCCTAACAAAAAAACAAAAGCTACCTCGTAGCTCTGCTAACCTATAATCTGGCAACCAGATCAGGAATCTGTGTCACTGATGTTGTGGCAGCAGTGGGTCTGCAGAAATGTTTAAAAAGGCAACAAACACCATGTGATTAGTAATAATGATACAAAACTGAAATCATTGAAGAAAATAGCCTATTGCAAACCTAAAAAGGAACAGAGTGGCAGATGACGAGTCTAAACACGCTCTGTTGCAGAGACGTGAAGGTGAGACAGCTGCATTCACAGTCTGATCTTACTAACCCACTATTTCAAGAGGTTTAATGACATCACTTCCCCCTCCGAATGCCTTCAAATGCATCCTGATTTTGCTCTGACTTCAACACCAACTGCTGGATCAGATTTTACTTCTTGAGGGATTAAGTTCCTGTGTTTTTTTGGAAGGGAGTGTTTACTAAGCAAGATTAAAAACAGCAGGGTGGCTGCTTTCTGATGCATCATTTTGCAACTATCTTCCTCCACCAAGTTGATCATAAAGCAATTTAAACAGCTTTCTGTTAATTTGAACATGAGGGTAATGAAAATAGCTAACCTGCTTCTCGAAGGTAGCGCTGATTATTACACTTGGGTATTTAGCAGACCCAATATAACCATTTCAGTTTTATGATTGGTTTGTTTGAGGAGGCTCGTCTCTGTGCTTGGACGGTCCTCATCAGGGCCTGGGCAGATGCATGAATATTTGATCGATACTGTGCTTTTTGAAAATGGAGGCCAGTTCTAACAAAGAAAAAGAACTGGACCTAAAATGGAACTCTGAGATACCCCATATCCCCACATGAAGCAAACTGCTGTCAGACCTGCAAGTGTGTTCATGCTTTCGCTGACTTATGAAGTTTAATCCGTTCATTTGTGTTTTTATTTGTGAAATGAATGAGTTCTGTGGAGGGTTTTCAAGTGATAAAATTAAAATTTAATACAAATAAACATTAGGGCTGCATAATACATTGCAAATGTATCGTCATCACAATGTTGGCATGTGTAATACGCATATCGCAAAGAACAGAAAAAATCGCAATGAATGGTCAGCTCAGTTGTTTGCTACTCATATTGCATTTTGTCAATCAAACGGAAGCATGAAGTTTTTGACAAATCAGATAGAGCTCTTCACACATTTGACCGATCAGGTGGGTTCTTATAGGTTAGATGCCCGCCCATAGGCGGACGGCACTTAATTTGAATGGCTAGCAAACACCTGAGTTTGCTTCGTACTTCCCTTTCAGCCGATTCTGCTTTCCCCAGGATCTGCTGATTGCCTTTTCTTGTTCATTTACTTTTTCCCTTTACACAAATCTTTTGATCACAATTTTTGCTTTTCCCATTTTTACTATTTTTTATCCATCCATCCATCCATCCATTTTCAGCCACTTATCTAGAGTCGGTCACGGGGGCAGCAGCCTAAGACAAGAGGCCCAGGCTTCCCTCTCCCCCAACTACTTGGGCCATTTCCTCTAGGGGAATCCCAAGGCTTTCTCTTGCCTTCCCTTGAGACATAGTCCCTCCAGCATGTCCTGGGTCTTCCCTTGGGTCTCCGCCCAGTTGGACGTGCCCAGAAAACCTCACCAAGGAGGCATCCAGGAGGCATCCTGGCCAGTCACCTCAACTGGCTCCTCTCGATGTGAAGGAGCAGTGGGTCTACTCCGAGTCCCTCCTGGATGACCGAGCTTCTCACCCTATCTCTAAGGGTGAGCTCAGCCAAACTGTGGAGAAAACTCACTTTGGCCGCTTGTATCCGCGATCTCGTTCTTTCGGTCACTACCCAAAGCTCGTGACCATAGGTGAGGGTAGGAACATAGATCAACTGGTAAATCGAGAGCTTTGCCTTCCAGCTCAGCTCTCTCTTAACCATGACATGCTGGTACAACACCTACATCACTGCAGATGCAGCATCAATCCGCCTATCAATCTCACACTCTATTTTTCCCTCACTAGTGAACAAGACCCTGAGACACTTAAACTCCACTTGAGGCAGGACCTCATTCCTGACCCGGAGAAGGCCTTCTACTCTTTTCTGATTCAAGACCATGGTCTCTGATTTAGAGGAACTGATTCTCATCCCAGCCGCTTCACACTCGGCTCTGAACCGCTCCAGCGAAAGCTGGAGATCACTGTCTGATGAAGCCAACAGGACCACATCATCTGCAAAAAGCAGAGACCTGATCCTTAGGCCACCAAAACAGATCCCCTCAAAGCCTTGGCTGCACCTAGAAATCCTGTCCATAAAAGTTCTTAACAGAATCTGTGATAAAGGGCAGCCTTGGCGGAGTACGACTCTCACCGGAAACAAGCTCAACTTACTGCCGGCAATGCCAAGCTCTGACACAGGTCATGCAGGGACCTAACAGCCCGTATAAAAGGGCCTGGTCACTCATACTCCAGGAGTACCCCCCTCATGTTCCCCTGGGGGTGTGGTCGAACACCTTCTCCAAATCCACAAAACACATGTAGATTGGTTGGGCGAACTTCCACGCACCCTCCAGGATCCCCCAAAGGGTATAGAGCTGGTCCAGTGTTCCACGGCCAGGACGAAAACCACATTGTTCCTCCTGAATCCAAAGTTCAACAATCCGACAGACCCTCCTCTCCAGAACCCCTGAATAGACTTTACCAGGGAGACTCAGAAGTGTGATCCCTCTGTAGTTGGAACACACTCTGTGGTCCCCCTTTTTACATAGAGGGACCACTCCCCCAGTCTGCCAATCAAGTGGAACTCCCTCCGATGTCCACGCGATACTGCGACAAACACAGCCCTACAACATCCAGAGCCTTAAGGAACTCCCGGCGGATCTCATCCATCCCTGGAGCCTTGCCACTTAGGAGCTTTTTGACCACCTCAGTGACCTTGGCCCCAGAGATTGGAGAGCCCAACCCAAAGTCCTCAGGCTCTGCTTCCTCACTGGAAGATGTGCCCAGTGGGACTGAGGAAGTCTTCGAATGATTCCACCCACCGATCCACAACGTCCTCTGTAGAGGTCAGCAGCAACACTGTAAACAATGTTGGTAGTGCACTGCTTTCCCCTCCTGAAATGCCGGATGGCAAACCAGAATCTCCTCAAAGCCATATGAAAGTCTTGATCCATGATCTCACTGAACTCCTCCAGTGCCTGGGTTTTGGCCTTCACGACCACCTGAGCTGCATTCCGCTTGGGCTGCCGGTACCCATCAGTTTCCTCTGGAGTCCAACAGGCCAAAAAAACCTGACTGGACTCTTTCTTCAGCTTGGCAGCATCCCTAACTGCCGGTGTCCAACAGCCAGTTAGGGGATTGCCACCACGACAGGCACAGACAAACTGCAGTGCCAGTCAGCCGCCTCAACAACAGAAGCACGGAACACGGCCCACTCAAACTCAATGTCCCCCGCCTTCCCCGGAACATTTTGGAAGTTCTGTCTGAGGTGGGAATTGAAACTTCTTCTGACAGGAGACACTGCCAGACATTCCCAGCAGACCCTCACAATACGTCTAGGCCTGCCAGGGCTGACCACCCCCCACCATCAAAGCCAAGTCACCACCAATGTGTCAGTTGACAGCTCCGCCCATCTCCTCACCTGAGTGTCCAAGACATAAAGCCGCAGATCAGATGAAAGGACTTCAAAGTCAATCATCGAACCACGACCTACGGTATCCTGATGCCAAGAGCCCATATGGACGTCTTTATGCTTGAACATGGTGTTCATTATAGACAATCCATGATGCACACAGAAGTCCAGTAACAAAACTCTCAGATTCAGATCAGGCGGCCATTCCTCCCAACCACACCTCTCCAGGTCTCACTGTTGTTGCCCATGTGAGCGTTAAAGTCCCACAGCAGAACGAGGCAGTCACTTGAAGGAGTGCATTCCAGCACCCCCTCCAAGGTCTCCAAAAAGGGTGGGTAGCATGAGCCACAGTTTGGTGCATAAGCACAAACCACAGTCAGTATCTGTCCCCCCACATGAAGGCGGAGGGAGGCTACCCTCTCATTCACCGGGGTAAACCTCAACATTCAGGCACCAAGACAGGGGGCAACAAGTATTCCCACACCTGCTCGACGCCTCTCAGTGGAAGGTCTCCAGAATGATAGGAAGTCCAACCCCTCTGGTTCCGGAGCCAGAGCCATGCATTGAGGTGAGTTCAACTATATCTAGCTGGAACCTCTCAACCTCACCCACCAACTTTGGTTCTTTCCCCACCAGAGAGGTGACATCTCACATACCGAGAGCTAGCTTTTGTAGCCAAGGATCAGACAGCCAAGGTCCCTGCCTACAGCTACCACCCAACACGCAATGCACCGGATCCCACTGGCCCCTCCCACGAGTGGTGAGCTCATGTAAAATATTTTTAGTTACTAAAAAAATAATAAATGTCTTTGTTTTTGATTTTTTGTTCTTGAGTCAAGTGTTTGTTTATTTATTGTAAGTCATATTGTCATCGAAATATTAATCACTGTTATCGCATATCGCAGGTTTTCCTAATATCGTGCAGCCCTAATGAATGTGTAAACTTCAGCAATTCTTTCAAATTTCAATGACAGCTTAGTTTCTTAACAGCTAAACAAGAGTAGGACTACAAATACTGCAGTCCTGCGATCAAATGACAACCAAAATCTGATCAAAACAGAAAGAGACATTTTACCCAGAAACATGAATTTGAAATAGAAGGAATCAAAAATTCACCTGCTCCAATCTTTCCTGCATTGATGACGTCATCATTGTTTCTGTTTCCCATCATCCTTTTTCCCTTCTAATTTGGACATGAGCACCTAATGGACGCCATTTGTGGAAGCTGCAGGATTTCAGATTCACACAGATGGGTATTTAGCTCGATGTAACCCTTGAACTGGACCTGGCAGAGGCAGAGTCGCTCTGTTGTGCTTGTTTCAAAAGCATTTGGATTTACAGGATTATTCCATGCGTAGGCTGAGTAGCAATATTTGGAAGGTTTCACACGGTGCCTTTGATTAGGAACAAAGTCCATCACTTCAGAGGGACATCAGCATGAATCATCAGTTTCCCTTGGCTCTCAAAAAGAATCAAATTGTTGGATTAAAAATTTTTAACTCTCAATTTATGGTTTGAAGACCAACTTTGACCTGGAATGTTTTCTTTAGATCTTTTCTTAGTGTTAATCACATCAGAATGCACTAATTAGGATGATTTATATTTGAAGCGTTAATGAATTAAAATATTTTTATGTATTAGTATGAGCATTAGTCTTTGGATAGTATTTTCAACTGTGATGATTTAGCTGACTGGTTATGTGACAAAAGGTTTTGGTATTTTTCTTTGGAATTATTTAAGTGAGCTGAGGTTTTTTTTTCCACCCTAGTGAAGGTGGATGATTGGCTACCATCTTCTGATGTCATGTGGGACAACATCAGATAACATTTGGTTATTTCAGATGCATTTCACGTGGAAAAAATTATCACAATTTATCACAAAGTCCCTGAGAATCACACGAGCATTGCTGTGAATTGACCACGTCAGTTACAGATCTTTAGAGGAGATGAGATCTCCATTGATCACTCGTTCCAGCTGGTGACTCGGTGTTTCAGAGTAAAAGCTTCCAGCAGAGCCGTCACGATAATCCTCACCATATGTTGTCTTCCCCTCTCACTCTGCTCTGATAAGATCCTTCCTCTTTACGTTATGCCTCTGCGTCACATATTAAAAATCTCCTTCCAGCTAAAAAAAACCACAAGCTTCCATGTCCTATTGTACACATGACATGCGAGGATAAAAATCCATGATGTTAGCAAACATTCTGACAGAGAGAAAAAAAAAACACTCACCCTGCATCACTTCCATATCCACATATTAATGCATCCTTTTCTCCTTCAACTTTGTAGAAATTATCTAAAAACAAGAGTAGTAAGATGTTAAATAATAGAAATATTCTGAGTACTGCACGTTTACCTTGAAACTTTAAGCTGACCTTCATTGGTTAGGAAGTCGTCAGATGAGCTCCAGGTTCTGTTGTTGCAGGTGAATGGCGTGTTGGGGCTGTATGAGAGGTTGACGCAGTGGTTGAGGCTGCGAACACATTTTTGTCGCAGGAGTCCCATGAAAAGCTGCAGGCCGATGAGCGCGAAAACACTGAGACAGAAGACGGTCAGGATCATCACATCCGTCAGCTTCTTCACTGACTGGATCAGAGCGCCCACGATGGTCTTCAGACCTGGGTGGAGGAGAAGAGATGGAACGAGCTGCTTTCATTTCACTGTAATTGAAAACAAGCCAAGTAACAAATAAAATGAGAGATTGTGGTTTCACCTGGAATAACTGAGATGGTTTTCAGTGCTCGCAGAACTCGGAAGGTTCTTAATGCAGACACGTTTCCAAGATCAACAAATTCTGTGACGTATCTGGATACAAAGATGTTTCTATTAGGTCACAGGTGAACTGTTCTGTTCTAAATGGCCATGAGGCATGCGTAGAAACTAAACAACGTGACTTTCTGACCTTCAGAACTCAAATCCAGACGTTTTTATTTAATCAAATAAGAACCGAGTGAATTTGTGTTTAATTAATTTAATCAATGAAAATGGTGCACTGTAACGTGTCCTAGACGCCCTTTCTTTTCATTAAAATAAATGCTAAATTCCCTCTGCGTGTTAAAATAAAAGATTGATTTTAATCCATCCAACAAATAAACCTGCTATAGCTTGAGCTTAAGTCTTTGCCTTCTGATGTCCGTAACGATGCAAGCACAGCAAAAGTTGGCAGATCGGTTAATATTTGACCTTTTCACCTTGTACCAACACTTACAGGTAAAACTCGAAAGAGTGAAATATTGTGCAAAAGTCCATTTATGTCAGTAAACCAACTTAGACTGAAAGACCGTAAAGGCTAAGGAACTCTCTGCAAGTGTTTTGGATTCATTAGCTGATTAAAGTGTGACACTTTGAGTCTAGAATATTGAATCTTTTCACAATACAGACGTGGACAAAATCGTTGGTGCCCTTCGGTCAATGAAAGAAAAGTCCACAACGGTCACAGAAACAACTTTAATCAGACAAAAGTAATAACAAGTCAGACATTGTTTTTCTAAAGTAATGATTTAAATTACATGTTATTTAATGAGCCATAAGACGTAGAATTCCATAGGAAATATGAAATCAACCTTATGGATCTGTTGGGTTATTTTAACCAGAAGATTGGAACTTTTTATTGCAGAGATTGGATAACAGCTTCGTATCCACTCATAGACAACAGAAGAGAGAGTCAAGTTTAAAAAGTTTAAAGATTTATTACTAAACAAATTAAAACTAGACTAACTTTAACACTAAATGTATGGTGTAACTAAGGTGAATGAGACGGAGAATGGTGTAATGTGGAATGTTGCTCAGAACCAGCAAATCCGAAGAAGCGATTAGTTCTGATGGGAAATGAAGGTGATGTCTTCGCGTTAAGCTTTGGTTAGGAGGTTCATAAACACATTCGACGCCATTTCGTCAGCCTTCATACCCTTTTGGAAGTCCCCGTTAGATCAGGAATGTCGAGGTCCAGCTGGACCCTCTCTTGAACCAAAGCCGGTAGGAAAAGCAGCGGTTGCCGACCAGACCAGTCTTTGAGATACTTCCGGGTCACGACGGTTTTGTTGGCATCTAGTGAGACGCAAACCTGGGTCGTGATGGTTCAGCTTTTATTCTGAAAGGAACCGTTGCAGCAGTTGGAATAGCAACAGATTTTATCCAGCTTGTCGTTGGTTCTTTTGGCTGAAGAGGAAAGTTACGGATTGGCCACTCCGACAACTTCTCTAGAACGCTTTGAACTGGCATTAAAGATGACGTGGGCATAGTTTTATACTTCGGATGTTTTGGTTTATGGTCGAATGAAAAGATAACAGATCTACCAAGCGCCACCAAAACCATGCCTCCGTCAGATCTGGCAGATTCTGATTGGATCAGTAAAACAATGTGTCGTCTCTTGACGCTACGTGAGTAATAATGAAGAAAAAAAATAATAAACTCATGGAACAGGCTGAACAAAAATGTTGGTACCCTAGAAAAGACTGAAAATAATGTGACCAAAGGGACATGGTAAGTCAAGGTGTGTCCACTAATTAGCATTGCAGGTGTCTAAAATCTTGCAATCAGTCAGTCAGTGAGCCTATATATAGCGCTCCAGGTAGTTATTGTGCTGTTTGATAAAATTGTGTGTACCACACTCAGCATGGACCAGAGGTGGTGAAGGAAAGAGTTGTCTCACGAGATTAGAAGGAAAATTAAAGACAAGCATGTTAAAGGTGACAGCTTTAAGACCATTTCCAAGCAGCTAGATCAGGTGTCACCAACTCCAGTTCTGTTAGTTTTCTATGTTTCCTGCTCTACCACACCTGAATGGAGTAATTTAATCCCTCCGTAACTCTACACAGGTCTGTTTATTACTCATTCTTTTCAATTAGATGTGTAGAAGAAAAGAAACAGCAGTAGCTCAGGTGGTAGAGCGGATTGCCTCATGATCGGAGGGTCATGGGTTCGATTCCAGCTCCCGCCAGGGGTATCCTGCTGTTGTGTCCTTGGGCAAGACACTTCACCCAACTTGCCTGTGTTAGTGGTGGTCAGAGGGGCCGACGGCACCAAATGGCTGCCTCGCCTCTGTCAGACCTCCCCAGGGCGGCTGTGGCTACAAGTAGCTTACCATCACTAGCAGTGTGTGAATGTGAGAGTGTGTGAAAGCGTCTTTGGGTGTCTAGAAAAGCGCTATATAAGTTCAATGCATTATTATTATTATTATTATATGCAGGATGGTAGCCCTCGATTACCGGAGCTGGTGACCCCTAGATGTTCTTGACTTCAGTTGCACATAATATTCAAAAATTGAAGATCTATGTGGCTGCAGGAAGAAATTTGATGACAAATTAAACAGACGGATAATCTGAACGGTAACAAAAGAGCCCAGAAAAACATCCAAAGAGATCCAAGGTGAACTTCAAGCTCAAGAAACATCAGTGTCAGATCCCACCATTCGGTATTGTTTGAGCCAAAGTGGACAACATGGGAGACGACCAAGGAGGACACCATTGTTGAAAACAAATCCTAATAAAGCCAGTCTGGAATTTGCCAAACTACATGTTGATGAGCCACAAAGCTTCCGGGAGGATGTCCCATTGACAGATGAGACAATAATGGAACATTTTACCAAGGCACATCAGCTCTACGTTCACAGATGGATAAATGAAGAAAAGAACAAGGGCCCTACTGTGAAGCATGGAGGAGGCTGTGTTATGTTCTGGGGCTGCTTTGATACATCTGGCTCAGGGTGTCTTGAATCTGTGCAGAGTACAATGAAATCTCAAGACTATCAAGGGATTCTAGAGAGAAATGTATTGGTCAGTGTCAGAAAGCTTGGTCTTAGTCACAGATCATGGGTCTTGCAACAGGACAATGACCCAAAACACACAGCTAAACACACCCAAGAATGGCCAAGAGGAAAACATTGGACTGTTTTAAAGTGACCTTCTATGAGCCCTGACCTCAATCTTATAGCTCATTTCCATCAACCGTTTTGGTTTGGAATGGGAAGGATCGGATTGCTAATTTTCCTTTTGCGATTGTAAAACCGGTCCAGACATCCTACGCACCACTCACCAGACCTTTTTGGCCCCTTTCTGTTGTAGGTCCAGACATTTCTGGCAACACAGTCCACTGATTGGTTGACAGAAATGCGTCACTACTTGCAACAAAAAACAAACAATTGGAATTCTGTTGTTTAGTTGTACATGAATGTGAAAAATTGCCAGCAAGTAGCAGAAGTTTTGTTCAGCTTCAGAGATCCATACCTTCCTCACATCATCGTGAGAGTCCACACTCAGGAGGAGCTAGAAGGATTGGTAAGGAAGTTTCTTTCTCAGCGGATGGCAGCCGAAAGAACTGAGCGGACATCCAAACGGTGTCAGGGCCAGTTGAAGACATTAAAGCCTAATATAGAAAAGTAAAAGACAGAAACTGGAGAAACAGATTTATTTTTTAACGGAAGTATTTTTCCGGATGAAAAATAGAAGAAATTCACGGAGGTGTTACAGTGCACTGGATGCTATTTATAGCCACAGACCTGTACTCAGCAACCGCACTCTGGAGTCATTTGTGGAAGCCTGTGGTTAGGATTTTGTTTATGTCTTTAGCTCTGCAGACCCTTTATTGCAGCATAAAAATGTAGAATATTTGCACAACTTATTTATAAAATCATGCATGATGGTTTGTTTAACCCCGCTTGTCGACATGAGAACCCAAACTGCGATAGAAAAGCTTGCCTGAAAATTGCAGGCCCATACCGGAACACGCCGGTCCACAATAACACACTCCCCGCCGTACCAGCAGTGGAAATTTGGCTCTATTGAGCATCTTTGGAAGGAGCCAAAACATGCTGTCTGTAAAAGACATCCTTAAAAACCTGAGACAACTGCTGATGAGGAGTGGGCCAAAATACTTGTTGAGAGCTAGGAAATCTCATTGACAATTACAGGAATCATTTCATTGCAGTGATTTTCTCAAAAGGTTGTGCACCAAAATATGAAGTTAGGTGTACCATCGTTTTTGTCCAGGACTGTTTCGTGAGTTTATTATTTTAAATAATTACGTTGAAGCACGGTTGACAAGCAATGTCTGACTTTCTTTGGTTAAATTTCATGGAATTTTTATTTATTATTACTTTTGTCAGATTCAAAATATTTCTGTGACCACTCTGGGTTTTCTTTCATTGAATGAAGGGTACCAACAATTTCGTCCACGTCTGTATTGTAATTGATTGAGATTTGAAAGTGGGCTTTTCATTAGCTGTAAACCCTGATTGCCACGTTGTCGTCGTCGTCTTCCTCCGCTTATCCGGGTCCGGGTCGCGGGGGCAGCATCCCAACTAGGGAGCTCCAGACTGTCCTCACCACCTCCACCAGCTCCTCCGGCAGGACCCCAAGGGGACCCCAAGGACCAGATTGGAGATGTAACCTCTCCAACGTGTCCTGGGTCGACCTGGGGGCCTCCTGCCGGCAGCACATGCCCGAAACACCTCCCCAGGGAGGCGTCCAGGAGGCATCCTGACCAGATGCCCAAACCACCTCAACTGACTCCTTTCGATCCGGAGGAGCAGCGGTTCTACTCAGAGTCCCTCCCAAATGTCCGAGCTCCTCACCCTATCTCTAAGGCTGAGCCCGGCCACCCTACGGAGGAAACTCATTTCGGCCGCTTGTATCCGCGATCTCGTTCTTTCGGTCATTACCCAAAGCTCATGACCATAGGTGAGGATTGGGACGTAGATCGACCGGTAAATCGAGAGCCTGGCTTTCTGGCTCAGCTCCCTCTTCACCTCGACAGATCGGCTCAGCGTCCGCATCACTGCAGACGCTGAACCAATCCGCCTGTCGATCTCCCGATCCCTCCTACCCTCACTCGTGAACAAGACCCCGAGATACTTAAACTCCCCCACTTGAGGTAGAACCTCTCCCCCGACCCGGAGTTGGCAAGCCACCCTTTTCCGGTAGAAAACCATGGTCTCAGACTTGGAGGTGCTGATCCTCATCCCAGCCGCTTCACACTCGGCCGCGAACCTACCCAGCAAGAGCTGAAGGTCAGAGCTGGATGAAGCTAGGAGGACCACATCATCCGCAAAAAGCAGAGACGAGATTCTCCTGCCACCAAACTCGACACACTCCACACCACGGCTGCGCCTAGAAATTCTGTCCATAAAAGTAATGAACAGAACCGGTGACAAAAGGCAGCCCTGGCGGAGTCCAACCCTCACCGGGAACAGGTCTGACTTACTACTGGCTATGCAGACCAAACTCACACTCCTCTGGTAAAGGGACTGAATGGCCCTTAACAGAAAGCCATCCACCCCATACTCCTGGAGCGTCCCCCACAGGGTGCCCCTGGGGACACGGTCATAAGCCTTCTCCAAATCCACAAAACACATGTGGATTGGTTGGGCAAACTCCCATGCCCCCTCCATCACCCTTGCAAGGGTATAGAGCTGGTCCACAGTTCCACGACCAGGACGAAAACCACATTGCTCCTCCTCAATCTGAGATTTAACTATCGATCGGACCCTCCTCTCCAGTACCTTGGAGTAGACCTATCCAGGGAGGCTGAGGAGTGTGATCCCCCTATAGTTGGAACACACCCTCAGGTCACCCTTCTTAACCCCACCCCAGTCTGCCACTCCACAGGAACTGCCCCCGATGACCACGCAATGTTGCAGAGACGTGTCAACCACGACAGCCGTACAACATCCATAGCCTTGAGATACCCAGGAGGAATCTCATCCGCCCCCGGTGCTCCGCCGCTGTGTAGTTGTTTGACTACCTCAGCAACTTCTGCCCCTGAGATTGAACAGTCCATCCCCAGGTCTCCCGGCTCTTCCCGTCACACTTATAACAAATTAAGCCTTGAAATTCCATTTTTGGTTCTTTATTTTTTATTTATTTATTTGTTTTTTTAAGCATAGATAAGGTTTCTCTTTACCTTAAAAAAGAACCAAAAATGGAATCAGAAGACAAACACAACAAGAACATACAGAAGATAAGCCTTGAAATGTCTGGTTTTCTGTGTAATGAGTCATATATTAGTTTTACCATTTAAGCTGAATTACTGACAAACATTAACTTTTGCACCATATTCAGATTTTGACTTTCACCCGTAGACAGGATTCAATCCAACTCCAATGAGATTACAACCAAATTAGCCAACTGAACTCTAATTAATCAGAAGTAGATTCATCACTGGAGGTAATGGCAGCTTTCTGTGTGTTTGGATCCATTATAAGTGATTTAGCGTTGCTGTTTTCCAATCAGGATGATTGAGTTCAGATAATTTAACAACACTGAGAGATCATCCGTCTAATCCTCCACCTCCATCATGGTTACTGACTGCTTTCTCACAGAGCTGTAAGCTGCACAAATGCTCACGATTATTCAGATCAGAGGATACGTCTGAACCCACCCATACTAAACATGGGTTCTTTTTCTGGTAAATGTTCAGATTTTAAGACAAACATAAGTGTCATGAATCAAAGAGGAAGTTCGGGGTTGGAAAATGGTGAAGGATTGGCTTGATGGTGGCGTACAAATGGCATCGCTACTCACGCCATGATGATGACGATGAAGTCAAGCCAGTTCCACAGATCTCTCAGGAACGTGAAGGGCACTAAACAAAATCCTCTTGCTAAAATCTTTATCGCTGATTCAAAAGTGTAAATGCCAGTGAAGGTGTACCTGGGAAATAGAGTTAAAGCAGTTGGTTTGAAGACCACTTTGGCTGGAGCTAATGAACATCAACAGTGAATCTGGGACTAAAAGTAAGGAATTAAAATTATGATGGAATGGACAATCAAACAGATTATGACCAATAAAGTTACATGCTGAAATGTTAAAAAGTCATAGTGAAAACGGGAACATTGACTTTTCAGAAAACATATTTGCAACATTTTCCAGATTTTCTTTGTGCTTTTTTTTAAACGAATGAGATATTTAAAGTTATTCCACTAAATTTCTACCTCCAATATGAAAAAAAAGTCCTATCAAACTTCTACAAGCAGTGCAAAGCAAACGAACATAAATCTCTGTTACCACGTGCCGTGCTAAAAATGAAGTGCTGATGATAAATAGCATAGCCGTGCTTTCCGCTCCATGCGCAGCTTTTTACTGCTTGTCTCATGTTCTCCAGCATGCAACGGCGCTGTAAACGTGATTCATTTACTTACATTTCAACTTCAGTCATCACTGATAAAGCAACAAACCCCAGTAAACTCCACATTAGAACACAGTTTAAACTGAGACGAAAGCTCAAACACAGAGATGCAGCTTTACTTACTCCAGGTATTTGGACCACGTTGGTGGATCTGACATGGCCATGAAGAAACAGTTGGTCAGTATGGTGAACATTATGAAATAGCTAAATAATGTGGAAAGGGGTTAAGGAAAGTGTAGAATGGCAATTATAATGACAATAACAATAAGAATACACTCTTTTCTAACATAAACAGTTCAACCTAAAATAATTCTCTGAGATTAAACGGTGAAAAAGCCTAAACTTACTAGAATGTTTACTGGAATCACTGACAAACATCAATATGGATGACATGTTTCTGTCTTTTCCAGTTGTACCAAACTCAAACCAAAATGTCCCATTTACAGGCACCACCATCTCTGGAATCAGTCAGCAAGACTCAGGATGTAGTGCTGAAAGTCCCACCTACTTAAACACAACTCTGCTTTTCTTGTTCTGATTATGGGGAACACCTGGACTCTGTGGTGTCTGATCCTGAACCACTCTTTCACTATTAGAGCCTCATAACCTGGTTTGTTCATTCAGGTAGTCAGCTGACCTCATTGTTTGGGCTCTTAGGCCTAGTCCACATGTAGCCGGGGTTTTTTAAACAAATATCCGCCCCTCCAAAAACTTGCATCCACACCACCGCATTTAAAAAAAAAACTCTGTCCACACGTACCCGGATAAATACGTTGTTAAGGACATGGGGCGACGGTGGCACAGGAGTTAAGTGCTCGCCCCGTAATCAGAAGGTTGCTGGTTCGAGTCCCGCTCAGTCTGTCGCTGTCGTTGTGTCCTTGGGCAAAACACTTAACCCACGTTGCCTGCTGGTGGTGGTCGGAGGGACCGGTGGCGCCAGTGCTCGGCAGCCTCGCCTCTGTCAGTGTGCCCCAGGGCAGCTGTGGCTACATTGTAGCTCATCCCCACCAGTGTGTGAATGTGTGTGTGAATGGGTGAATGACTGATTGTGTTGTAAAAGCGCCTTGGGGGGTTCCAGGACTCTAGAAGGCGCTATATCAAATACAGGTCATTTAGCATTTACCATTTACATGCCAGACCTGTAGGCGGCAGTACTTCCCCCGTTCTTAACCTCATCCTTCGTCTGTGGTCTTCCGCAAGGAGCAGTAATTCCGCTTGCAAAAACAAACAAGCAGAAAGCGCTTGGACAACTGATGGATCGGGTAGTGACAGATCGCAGCTCTGAGGGCTTCCATGCTGTCGGCTCGTGTAAACACAGGTCGTACACGTGATGTCAGCATTTTTTTGTCGCGGAAAGTGACGCTCCGGACCTTAAAACTCCGGTTTTGTCTGTCCACACGCAGACACCCAAAACGGAGAAAACTCAGATCTTCACTTTGGCCGGAGTTTTTAAAAAGATCCGTTTTCGTGTGAAAAAACTCCGTTTTCGTGTGGATGACAGGACAAAACGTAGAAAAATATCTACGTTTTGGCAGATCCCCGGCTACGTGTGGACAGGGCCTTAATGTTGCTGAACCAAGACCTGACCTACTGCAGGAACCCCAGATCATAGACTGGTCCCACAGGCTTTTACACTGGGGATGATGGAAGCATCCCATCACCTGCTTCTCTTCTTATCCTAAGGCTCCCATCACGCAGGGACCAGGTAGCTTCACTGATCAGTAGTTTTCTTCTGGCTACACAGCTGTTCAGTCCCAAAGCCTTGAGATTCCTTCTCTTTGTGGAAATACTCTGTCACTATTAGACAGCTCTGTGTCATGGTCCGTGGTGAGCTGCCAGCCTGTAACCCTGTTTTCTCCTCTGAGTATTGTTTTCACAGGTGGGCGTGTCTGAGAGCCCCCAGCTGCAGCTGATTTCACCATCAAGGCCCAGGGGATTTAAGGAGCAGTGTGACACTTCACCACGCCGGATGATTACTCTGTTTGGGTAGCGCTAGCCTCCAACCTGACTTTGATATTTGTATTTTGTTCTTGTTAACCTGCCGCTTGAAAATCCCTGAATGCCCTTCCCTGCTCTCCTCCAGGTTCCTCTTAATCTCTCACCATCTCCAGAACAAACCCGGATCTCAGCCTACCTGACCACACTGCTTCATCCCCTGGCCGCCCGCTCTCAGCCGCTCACCTACCAACATCCATTCCTGCTCCTACACCTCTGGACAAACCAATCCCCTTACCTTTGGATCTGCTCAGCTCACCCGGACCTGACAACCCTCCCTGTACATTTACCACTACCAAGAAACCGTGAGCCCAGCCTCCAGATAAGTTTCCATTATTTCCACCTCATATTCACTCTGTCTCCCTCCTCAGAATCTCCTCCTGGAATCCTGCTGCCAGTCTTGCATCTCGTCAGTTCCCGTCTCTCCCGTTGCTCCTTATTTAGTAATAAAAACCTTTTTACTTACATTCTTGCTCTCCGTGTTGTGATTCTGCATGTTGTGGGTCAAGAAACTGACACTCTGAGGTCTACGGTTGGTTTTCTTTCATTTCTTGTCTCGTCTCGCCGTCTTCTGGCTGTCCGGGTTGCGGGGGCAGCATCCCAACTACGGAGTTCCAGACTGTCTTCTCCCCGGCCACCTCCACTAGCTCCTCCGGTAGGACCTCAAGACATTCCTGGGCCAGTTCAGAGATGTACTTTCTCAAATGTGTCCTGGGTCGACCAGGGGGGCCTCCTGCCGGCAGGAAATGCCTGAAACACCTCGCTGGGGAGGAGTCCAGGAGGCATCTTTTCTTTTAATTTGATTTCACCAAAAAATGTAACTGATCATTTTGGAGTTTTATCTGACTACATTTCTCTTTCTAAGACGATGATTCCCAACTTTCCTTCCAGGTTCTTCTTGACAATAGTTTATACGCTTCTTCAATCCCAACAGATATGTTTTCTCTGGTTGATGCCAATGACCTGACCCTTCCCAAACAGACTAACATCTTTTCCACGACCACAGGATGTCCTATGTTTAAGAGAAGAGAAGCTCCTTTTTACATCAGTGTTGGTTGAATTACTTGCCCAGGTGCTTGCTTAGTTAAATCCAGGTGGATACTTTTTTGACCAGGTAGTGTGTAATAATTAAGCAGAGGTTGCAGCCAAAAGTAACTAATATGCCCCCTAGTGGCTGGCTGCAGAGGAGGAAGGACCCATCTCAGATCTTGTTGCTGAATCCTTTGGCTTCAGTAAAATAAAAAGATGTTTTCCATCTTGTTTCAAGGCTGCAGTGACACCCAAACCATTTCTGTTAATCTCATTTATAAGAATAATATCTTATAATGGTAATAAGAATGCAGTATATTCTAGAATCGTCACACACACAGACCACCAAAAAAGGATATGAATGGACTAAAACTTTTATGGCAATAGATCTGATGAAGTGAAATGGACTAATTATGTAAAGTGCAGATGTGGCACTGAATCTGAAGATGGCCTTCCCTTTGTTGAGCACTATAAAAGTCTGTAAAGAAAACAAAAACACAAGATCTGTCATGAGAAAAATAGAATCACATTTTCAGACAAACATATTCGATCTTCCTGACTCCCCTGTTATGTAACTGCACGCTGACGGAAGTCGATCTTGCCGTCTACCATCTGTGATAACTTCCACCACAGGCAGCCATGGAGGCAGTTGAGATAATGGAGGCAACTCCAAAGCAGGCTGGATGTTTCCCCAAACAGATGTAGCATTTATTTAAATATTTTCTCCCCCGTCTTTGGATAATCCTCCCATCCAGCAGCGCATCACATGCCAAAACAAAGAGACCCTGAGAATGGCTGCCATGTTCTTTTTTCATCTCTCCATTAACACGCAGCTGCCCGACCTACCAGCTCGGCAAATCTAAATTTCCTGATCCTATTTCTGCACAAGAGATCTAAAAGGAAGAGGGCACACCCTGCCAAAGTCTCAGGCAGAAAAAGGTCTGTAAGGTACACTCTGTGTAAAAAGGCACACCAGTTTATATTTAGAAGCTCAGAATAAGAATGAATTATTTTCTAATTCTCTTTGCCTTACGCCCTGAATCACACATATGTCGTACTTCTACTGAAATGAAAAGTAATAATAGGAGTTTTGACTATGCCTGTCATGTAATTTGAGATTTATTAGCTTGAAAATATTTGTAATTCAATTAACTACAAATCAGACGTGGCATTTATGACGTCAGCGCTGAATCTCTCCTCCCCAGCGTAGCTGCTGCTTTACACACGGCCAGCCCAGATTTATGGTGGTTTTCTCCATGTTTAATGCTCCTTCTGTTGTCCTAGAAGAAGGATTTGAAGCTCTCTAAACTCACAGCCATTTTTCATCTCCTCTTCTCCGTATCTGGTTCGATGACGTCAATTTGGTGAGACGAACATTTGAAGTCTGTTACGTGTTTTCACACAAAACCTAAAATAACTTGCCAGAAGCGCTTACTTGGCATCAAAATGTGTCTTTAAAGTTCACGGACATCATATGTTAAATCCATGGCCCATAACAAACGGCATAATAATAACTTTTATCTTCTCATTGACTTCATTTCTTTTTTTCTTTTTTTTTTTGGTTTGGCGTGAGCCTAAGTCACGCCCATCTACTTCCGGACCACGGGTCCCCAGAAGAACAAAAAAAAATGAATGCAAGTCAACGGGGCTAAAAATACTATTTTCCAATTCCGCTTGTTATTTTCCATGGATTTCACATATGGTGTCCGTGAATTTAAAAGATGCATTTTGATAACAAAAATGCACTTATATTTGAACGAGGGGAAATGTTATTTTAGGTTTTGTGTGAAAATAAGTCCAGGGTTAAAAATGTGCTTCACGAAAGTGACGTCATCAAACCAAACACGGAGAAAAAAAGAAGGCAAATGGCTGCAAGTTCAGCGAACTTCAAATCCTTCCCACAGGAGGAAAGAACCACTATAAATCTGGCCGTTTGGTAAGTAGCAGCTACGCTAGAGGAGAGGACATTATGTGATGACGTCACATATGCGACGTGCCGATGTAGTCATGATAATTACGAACTTTTACAAGCTGATAAATTTCAGTGTAAGTGGCTGGCGTGGTCGAAACACCCATCATTAGTTCTCTTTTAAATTGCAGTACAACATATGTGCGATCCAGGGCGTAAGGCAAAGCGGATTAGAAAATAGCGTTTTTAGCCCCGTTGACTTGCATTCATTTTGTCGTTTTTCCGGGAACCCATGAGCCGACCGGAAAGGGAGGAGGCATAGGCTCACTGTCAGGATTAGTACCTTCACCAATGACTTGCCTCGTCCAGTCCTATACACGTCTGCTGCCCTCTGGTGGAGGATCTACTCTTTATTATTGTTATATCATTTTTAGAATTACACTACGAAACAAAACCTATTTCTACATCGTTGTTAAATTAATGTCAGATAATAAATAGTTCACATTTAAAAACTAGACTTTAAAATCATTATCATTATTCTACATTTCATGAAGCGGTTAACTGATGTTAAATGTCTCTGTCGCCATCCCACCAAACACATTTCCAAGCCCTCACCTTCTGGTTCTTGTAGTAAAATGGATCGATGTCCTCCAGTGGCACCCCGACAAGTTCTGTGGGGATGTCACCAAAGATGCGTGGCAGCTGCTTGCCTGCCTCCAGATCAGCCCTGGGTTTTGGTGGCTCTGCGTTCTTCTGAGCCTCTGAGCCATCCTTGGTGCTCTTGGCCTGCTCCTCCGCAATCCGCCGCTCCAGGGCAGCGAGGGATTCGCGAGTGAACCGCCGCAAGCCATCAGGACCCGTTGGTAACAGCATGGGTGCCATCTTTTCATCCTGATTGTCCTGTAGATTCTACTTACAGCTGCAGACGTGGGAGCGAGGGTTTGCAAAGACAAGGAAGAGACAAAAGAAAGTGCTGTGTCAGGAGTTTTGTACAATAAACTTAATGAATGAGTTTAAAATTCCTGAGCTGGTCCTTTAAATGTTTCAGCTTCGGTTAAGTTTTCTGTAAGGCGAGATTTGTAATTTAAACTAAAACCAATGCATCAGAATGAAGCTAGTCTACTCACACCAAATGCTTAAAATGAAAAAGAAGCTGTCAAAATAAAACGTTGTATTTTAAATCAAATACCCAAAGACCTAAAGTGTCAGATTGGCAGACGTTGTTTTATTGAGCTTTCATTGAATCGATTTAATCCTTTTGTTATGTGTCCTGGTTTAAAAATCAAATTAGTCAGAAAGAAGAGCAGCCTGAGTCGTCTAAGACAACTAGAGAGCAGCAGCTGTGCCCAGACAAGTGCAGAGGCTGGCTGGACTGTTTTCAAAGACACCTCTCCTCCACCACACCATGAGGTCCAGCTTCTCCCATCTGGACGCAGATATGGAGATCCAGAGTTTTCTCCCACCTCCCTTAGCCCTCCTAGATGAGTGTCAGCCCTTAAGTTGTGATTTTGTTTGTTCCTTTTAAATGCTTGGGATATTCTGTTTGAACTTTCTGCCTTGCCACCTAAGAAAATTCACCTTCAGGTACAAAATAAGTGTTTGATTACATTCACGCAGTAAATGACCTGCGCTTGTAAATATCCTTGCGACAGTGCGAGTGTCCTGTCACAGTGTCCCGACTGATCATGCGCCCTGGCTACTTGGCCAAGGGGATGTCCCTTTGGCTGACTGGTTAGCGCGTATGACTCTCCCCCGGAAGTCTGGGGATCGAATTCCGCCCGGGCCCTCGCTTCTCCACCTTGCCACATCCTTATTGAGTCAGAAGTCTCACTTTACAACACCAGTTTACCCATTCACACACTGGTATGAATGGGTAAACTGGAGGCACAGCTGCCCTGGGGGAACATTGCAAGGAGGTGTCCCCATGCTCCGGATGGCCAATTTGCCGCCTACGCCTACCGCCAGTAAATGATGAATGACCTGCATTTGTCATTCACCCATTCACACACATTCAGACTCTGATGGGGATGAGCTACAATGTAGCTACAGCTGCCCTGGGGCGCACTGACAGAGGCGAGGCTGCCGAACACAGGCGCCACCGGTCCCTTCGACCACCACCAGCAGCAGGGGCGTGTCCAGGGAGTGGCCTGGGGTAGCACATGCCACCCTCGGAACCTGATTGACCACGCCAGGTGCCACCACACTAATTTACCTTTAAATCGGCTTTCCATTGTCCACAAAAGGCTTGGGGGTAAAACAAAAGAAGCATAACTATTGGTGCCACCCATGCACAAAGTTGTGCGTCACCTGGGCCACCCCATTTTAAAAGATCTGGACACGCCACTGACCAGCAGGCAAGGTGGGTTAAGTGTCTTGCCCAAGGACACAACAACAGAAATCTCTGGTGGAGCCGGGATCGAACCTGCAACCTTCTGATCACTGGACGCCCCGTTCTACCTCCTCAGTTACTGCTTCCCAGTATAGGCAAAGAGGGTGAATTGTCTTGCCCAAGGGCACAACTGATGGAACCTGGGTTCAAATCCACAACCCACCGACTACAGGGCTAACTCCTAACCCCTGAGCTACTGTCGCTCCATCAGTAGGTTAAAGCTTGTCAGTCCCAGAAGAGATGCACATCACCCTGCTTTCAGGAGAGCTGTAAGCTAAGATCAAAAAAGTATAGCTGTAAAACTGTTATTTTTAGTTATTTGTGTGTGTGTGTGCGTGTGTGCGCGCGTGCGTGTGTGTGTGTGCATGCATGTGTGTGCATGCGTGTGTGTGTGCGTGCGTGCGTGTGCGTGCGTGTGTGCGCGCGCGTGTGTGTGTGTATCAATGTACATTGATAAAAGATACATTGTTTCTTTTGATTATTAGACACGGAAATGCTTTTTCTGATAAATTCTTTCTTTGTTTTGTCTATATTCCTTCATGCTATGCCCAAAATGAATATCTGCTCCATTGTGGCTGAAAACGACAGGTTATTTCCAGATGGTTGGTCTGTATTGAGCCAATCTGTTGGACCAGATCCTCGGTTGATGCATTTAGACAGTTACAGGAGAAGTCCCATGAACACAGATCTAAACAGCTTAACATTCTTTTAAAGGAAACACATGTTGTTTGTTGTTATTGTTTCCATGGACAGAATAGGCTTTTCTATGTCGTTTGATCACAAACCAAAGCCATGTAATCTAAATAAGATGATATT